TCAACGGATTTATTTCGAGTTTTTACGATATATACAGCCGACTTACAGACGACCAAAAAACCCATTTTTCATCTTTGTCGAGCTTCTGCGCTGCCATTACTCATCCAATCGTATTGATCTGTATGGCAAAGTTAAGCTCTGATCTATTGACTTTAAAATAAAACTAAAACTGGCCCAACCGAGTGGATATCTGCCGAGATATAAGAAGAAATTCGAAAAAAGTCCGAAATTTAACATTTCAAACTTTAAAAAATCTTTAAAAAAAAACTGTGCCATCGAAAAAAAAATAAGTGCTATTTTCGTGATCTAGGGGTCCAGCACTAACAGAATTTGCCATCAATTGCTGGGGAGCACACCAAGAATATTATTTTGTAAACTAGTGTTATACAAAAATTTGTATTTAAGATTTCAGGCTTTGGAAATCTTAAAAATACATAAACGAAATACATATGTGTTGTGGTAACAGTTTACCAAATTTTCGTATCACTCCTTGCGCGAAAATATGGTATTTCTTGTCATCACTGTTTGAGGAGGGGGAAGATTGCCAACTCGGAGCTGTTAAGGAGTTGATGTGTAATTGTCTGAGATTCGACTTTGGCTTTGGCTCAAGTTTTATGTACCGGGGCCAACGAGATAGCGGGCTGGATGCGCATTTTATGGCAGGGCTTTTGTGCCTGAGTTGCTCATACGCCCCGTGGCCTCAAAGAGATTGCGCACTATCTGGAGCAACTCGGGCTTTGCCTGGCACACACCGAGCTGCCGGATTGGGTATACAAATTATTTCATTAACCTCTCACCTCCCAGCCCTTTTTTAGAGCCATCCTTGCCAACGTGCCATGTTCCATTGCTGGCTTTCGGGCACCATCGGCAAACTTTCCCCAATGCAAACAAGCTGTCAGCTGGTTTCCCCACCTCCGTCGACTAATGAGTATCGTGCGGTCGAGGCATGCTAATAAGCTGGGCTGTCACTAAATTAGTTTACCGCACAGGCCGTGCATAAAGTGACATCGGGGATGGGGATGGGAATGGGGAAACGGGATGCGGCTGGAGCTAATTAAAAAGTTTTTCGTCGATTTTTCGATTTTAAGCTCTGGCAGGCGCTCGCTCATGTTGACAATTCAATTTGACGTCGAGCGGTAATAAATCTTATTTGCTCAGCAACCAACAGGCCGTAATTGAAAGTCCTGCCGCCACCACGTGCCCTGCATCCGGCGGACAAAGGACGAAAGGACGCGCGTGCCTGTGTGTGTTTGCCGAGCGACATGCATAACAAATGCGCTGGCAGTAAGTGCAACGTGTCGTATGAGCGATGTTGGCCCGCTGGCCCACGGGGCGGGTACGCAACCGAATATCCGCATAAGAAATTAAAGCTCAGCCCTACGCCCGATAAGGGACCTCCTCCGTAAGTTCCTCTTCCGTGGAATGGAGTTGCCAGGTGCCTGCAGCTCCGTAAAGCAAACACTTTTGCACAGGAAGAGAGCATTCGGCACGTGAGCTCACTAAGTACACATGCGGCTACGTAAATAGTACTACTTCGTAGCAGGTTACTAAAAATAACTAAAAATAAATTAAACATTTTATTTAACTGCGTTTACTCTATAAGCAGGAAGTTCAAGACTACATAGATACTTATTTCATAAGCAAGTGCTATTTGATCCCAATATTTCATTGACTAATTATTTTAATGGATAATAAGTCTAACTCTCTTTTTTGAAGTCAGAGAATTCGCAAAATTATATTATCTAATATCAATTTTACCAGAATGCATGGTAAAATCGATATATGCATAGCGATTTGATCCCGGCGTATTTTTTGTGTGTATATATATATTTAATTGAAAACTCGATTTGATTTTAGGCTTATTTTTTTGGCCACAGCTGTGCCTGTGGATTAACAAATTTCCCTCAACTGCACAGACTCAAACTTCTTGGTAAATCCTTCTCTCCTGGAAGTTTCTTTAGGTTTTCGATTACTGCAACCAACTGAAATAAGGAGCTTTGCTCTTACCAGCCGATTGTTAATAAAAATAAGGCGACTTGTCCAACGTTCGGCCCCAACATTAATTAGCATTGCTGCGGTTGGGTCCATTCGAACCGATAGCATTGCCATAGCAGCCGGGGTGTCAATCTAATTGAGATTTCTTGGATAGTCTGAATGGGAAATGGCAATCGCAGTCGAGTGCAATCCGAACGTGACCCTGAATGGCCTGTTTCCCAGCTGACCTTTTCACTGGCCTTGCACTCATCCCACACCGCTTCTTGATTCTATTTCCCCAGGACGCCGCCATCTGCGTCAAGTTTCACTTGGAGCGGGAGAAGAATCCTCACAAATTCAACAGCCGCATGAAGAACAAGCTCTGGTACTTCGAATATGCAACATCCGAGACATTTGCGGCATCCTGCAAGAATCTCCACGAGAGCATCGAGATTGTGGTAAGTGGTTGGGGGTCGGATTGGCTTGGAAAGTGGGCGGGAATGAGGTCACGCCTTATCGGTGATTTATTAGCGAGTGCTGGAACGGAGCAACGCAGCGTGTAACCTTCGCTCCGTATTCACAGTGCGATGGCGTGGCTCTGGACCTGGCCAACGGTCCCCACCTGCAGGGAGTGGCCCTGCTCAACATCCCGTACACCCACGGCGGCTCCAATCTGTGGGGCGAGCACCTGTCCCAGAAGCGGATCCGCAAGAGCGCCGGGCCCTTCGGCAAGAGCAAGAAGCTGCGGGCGGGCGACAAGGAGTTCTCCGCCACCAGCTTTAATTCCGTGGATCTATCGGTGGCCATACAAGGTGGGTACGATACTGCGAACATTTGTTAATCTTAAAAATAAGAAGAGAGAACGCTATAGTCGGGTTGGTGTTCCGACTATCTAATAAACGTAACTCAGCTAAAGGGAGTGCGAGGGAGATAGATATATAATCAATCTTGATTGCGTATAACTTTTAAATGAATGGTCCGATTTGAAAAATGTCTTCTACATTCCGATAGGTATATTTATACACAACAAAATTGCATTTATACTTCTCGGAAATCTTTTAAAATCGTTAGTGGGCGATTGTGGGCGTTAGAGGGGGCGTGGCGCTCGGCTGAAATAAACTTACGCTGCGTAGGAGGCCCAATAATATGAGTGGAAAATCTCAACCTTCTAGCTTTTGTAGTTTCCGAGATCTCAGCGTTCATACGGACGGACAGACAGACGGACAGACGGACAGGGCTAGATCGACTCGGCTAGTGACCCTGATCAAGAATATATATACTTTATGGGGTCGGAAACGCTTCCTTCAAGCTGTTACATACTTTTGCACGAATACAATATTCCCTATGTCTATTTCAGATTTTGGAGATCGACTGATCGAGGTGATTGGTCTGGAGAACTGCCTGCACATGGGGCAGGTAAGAACTGGGCTCCGAGCCTCTGGACGCCGCTTGGCCCAGTGCAGCGAGGTGATCATCAAGACGAAGAAAACGTTTCCCATGCAGATCGATGGCGAGCCCTGGATGCAGATGCCCTGCACGGTAAGTGAAGGATTTATTTAATATGAAAACTTTTATTTTTTATTACCAATGCGATTTCAGATCAAGGTGACCCACAAGAACCAGGTGCCCATGCTGATGGCGCCACGATCGGAGAAGGGACGCGGGTTCTTCAATTTGCTGTGCAGCTGATTCAGGCGCAGCGCATCGAGCGACTTCATGGGCCGAACCGCCCCCGAGTCCGCCGATGAGCTGGATGATGACTTTCGGATCGTCACTAGGAGCACCACCGTCCATAACATAGCCTAGCGTTAATAGCTTTAGCCCTAGTCCACCCGCGATCGCATCGAATTGGTTTATCCTAGGTTAAGGCTTTCCCTTATGATATGTATGTGTAGATGTGCTACATGTATCCTTGAGTGTATGTATGTCGAGTGAGTTACAGAGCTTTATATTTAGTGTTAGTGTAGCCAAATATACAACCGAGTCAAGTCCATTCCAATGGGATCCGAGTGCGGAAGCTGTATATTGCAATACCAGGGCTTTAGGTGTACATGTACAGTGCCAGAGGATATTTTAAGAACACTTTAAAAACGATAACGTAGCTAAAATTGTCCAATGATGCAACTGAAATGAGACCAACCAAACAACCAGAACAACAAACCAACCTAACAGCATTGTAGTGCGAATTTTATGCCTTAGGCTTAAGTAATTTATTCCGTCATCGCCAGTGGCGGGTGTTGCTGGGATCGAAGGGATATATATACGTATGTGTACGAAGATTTAAAAAAGAAACATATCATTGATTTCCGACTCGAGAGATTGCATTTGAGCAACACTCGCCACTGATTTACGAACTTTACTTTTTTTTAGTACTTTATATTGTATATAGAGAAAACAAATGTAACTTGATATGCAAATGTCAACTAAATGGTGCAGCTTTAAACGAAATTTTATATATGAATACATATAATGAGATGACAAGAACAGTATGTTAAATAATACAAAAAGTGTATATTTCATATAGTCATATATGTATGTTTAGTGCCAATAAGGTCTTTGGAAATACGATACTCTTAGAAAAAATACAAATACATTTTTATCATCAATACAAAAACTACCCAACAAATTTAATTTTCTAATTAAAACCTTCAAACATTCCATTGAAATTTTGCATAACTAGCCCGAGATTTTTTTTTTCGGTTTTCAAGAACTGTATTTGACTTTTATAGGCAAACATTTACGGAGACCGTATGTAAATTTTAAATAACGAAGCAGAAACAGTGCAAATCTCAAAGTAAAATATCTTCTTTGTTGTATAGAATAAACCCAGAAAGTGTTAAGGTAATAGAATAATAAAAAAAAAATATATGAGCACTTAGTTAAAAATATTTAAAGCCTTGAGATACACCTTTAATTAATTGGATATACTCGCAATATAATATGTGTCCTCTAAATTATCAATCATTAAGTAGATGAACAAAATTAATAACTCATCTGCACGACTAAACATAATTGGTAAAACAAAACTGCTTGGGAATAGAAAAATTCATATTATCTTAGCCACTTCTCGAGTCTTAATTGAGTTCTCCTCGTCCGTGCCATTCTAGTCACCCATGAACTTCCTCTAGAGGATGTTCATACTCCACACACCATCCGTCTTTTGGCACGATAGCCTGTCAATAGAAAAGATATTATATCAATGTACGTGAACGTGTATTCTGTCGGATTACAATTGCAAACTAACGTAATATACATAAAATCGATTTATTTTGCAAATAAACATTTTCAATGCGATTCCTCGAGCCCGCAATACCTCGGTTTCGCCAGGAACAGGGGAGTTTTGTGTCGGCGCCGGGGTGCCGCTAATGCCACACAGTAGCCAGTTAACATTAATTATAAATGAACCACTTAACATTAGTAAAATGCAAGGCAAAGCGGCTCAACTAAGGCCACGCTTGTGTACAGTACAATTAGGTCTAAGCATATACCTGTCTAAAAATAGCCCTATATTGAAACTATGAAATAATTGAACAAGTAACTACTAGTTGATATTACCAGTGAAATTAACAATGAAAGCGAGTGGAACTTGCAAAGTTATACTATGTTAGCCCTATAATATTTAAAGCATAAGTAGAAGAATATATCCCAAGCGGAGTTATAATATGTGTACAAAGTTTGGTTCCTTTCGTAGGTTTATTAAAGTACTTTGTTTCGTATTTAGATTGGCCAAGGTGAGACGTTTAGAGTGGTCGCTATATAACTATATCCCATAAAAGTTTGCCCGTATATATTGTACAATTTGGATCTTCACGTGTGCCAAGTACTAGAAGAAATGGGGACCCACAATGCCCTCAAATATAGTATATTCAATGCAAAGGTCAAACCAGTTTAAGATAGCGAATGAAATGTAAAACTGTAAATTACATATGCCATATTATCCACACATGTATACTCCTATAACCAATGTTTAAAACAACCACCAATAAATGTAAATTATGTGTAATCTTGGCTGAGACCGTAGGCATTTTGAAGGTGCAACTTCACATGGGGTCCGTAAAGGCTTATAAAGGTGAGAACTTGATTACTGCTGGGCTGTCCGAATTGTTTGAGCACCTCGGCGGTGCGACATGGATGCAGTGCCATGAAAGGTCTAAAAAGCACAGGATGGTCCATTTGAGTAAGAATCTGGTAGAGTTCAGTGGCTTTTGTTTCCGGCATAAACAGTTGCCAAGTAGCCTCCAAGTCCAGAAGGCTTCCATCTGCAAGAAAATGAGTTAAGTTGTGTTACTAAGTTCTTGGATCATTATAAATACCTGATCTGTGTGCCTGGAAAAACATCATAGGTACTTGATAGGATACACTAAAAACAACGTGGTACTCCACATTCAGCAACTCCTCTGAATTATCCTTGCCCCCCTTGCATTTAATCTTTTGACTAAACTTAAGGAAGGTGTTGGGCTCATCCGAGTTCTAAATTTAAAAAAATGTAGTTATTTCAAAAAATTAGATTACGAAATGCCTATTGGCTACATACTTTTTCCTCCAGCATCCAACTATCGCCCAATTGCTGGGAAATTCCAAGAAACTGCTTAGCCTGACTCAGAAAGTCTTTCCAGCTTAAATCGCCCATCACGCTGAAAATATACAAATTGAAATTAAATTACTAAAACCATTACGTTTAGCCGAGCATTAAACATGAAAGAAAACAACTTATTTGCGTGGGAAACAAGCCTCGTACATATATTTCAGAATGTCCTGAATCCTAGAGCAAAATTGAAACGCCAAAGGTCAAAGCTCCTCAACATGAAATACTTAAGCTAAACACAAATCGTCAATCAACGAATATCTATTGCAATAAATTAGGCGCTGCGCAGATCGCCATCCAAGGCGGTAACCTGCACATTTTCATTGCGCCGGACCTGAACAACAGTCACCGTGGCGGCCTTGTCGTCAAATTTGCACGTCACCGTGACCTCCCGCAGCTGGAAGGTGAATATTTGTGAGCCGTATTTTGTGCGCAGGTAAACAGAGCGCGGATCGGCCTCCAGGATGTCCACGATGCACTGCTTCTCCACCTGCAGCTCCTTCAGCTGGGCCTCGGCGTGCTCGTTGAAGCTCACGCTTAGCCGACTGCTGGCCACCACCCAGTTGGGCACTCGCACGGCGCTCGGTGGCGGCGGCATGGCATCCGCCCCGATGCTCGAGTTGCTGGTGTAACCAGCCGCTCCGTACAGCTCCAGGTCCGATTCCTCTCCGTCGGGCTCCTGCCGCGAGTCGTAGAAGTCCAGGCTGTTCTCATGCGGTCCAACCGAGGTGCCTCCTGTCCGAGGCAAGAACTTTAGTTGGCTTTCGGGGTTTTGGTCGCCCAACGTACCTGAGTCAACGCTCAAGGACGGCGCATCGTAGTGTGGAATGTAGGGCTTAATGTCCAGCACCGGAGTTCCGTCCACCATGTCCGTGCCGAAGAAGCTGATGGTGGCGTTCTCGATCTTCTCTATCTCCACCAGAGAGAGACCAATGGGACAGGGTCGGTGCGGAGACCTCGTGGAGAACACTCCCACCCGCTCGCCACCGAGACGGGGAGGCGCCACCTTGGCCTTGGGATGGGCATTGTTGCGGTGGAAATGGTAGATGAGCCACAGATGCGAAAAGTCGCCCAGTCCCTCCAGCGAGTGCTCCGGATTGGTAAAGACACCGTCGTTCAGCTGGACGATGCCGCGCAGGCGACTGCCCACAATCGATTGCCTGGGCACGGCTCGCTTCTCCGGGAAGGCCGTCCTAATCACTCCGATGGGCCGAAAGTGGGCGTAGTCCTCGCCGGAGCCGCTTCCTCCGTTGGTCTGATGGCTCTGGGGATGGGTTGGGAGGTGTGATTTGTGGGTGGGTGTGGGAGGGTCAAACGCACCTGACCTTGTCCCGGCTGCTGCTCCTGCGCCTGCTGCTGCTGGTGCTCCTGCTTCTCGCCGGCGACCTTGTCCTTGGCGCTCTTGTTGTTGCTCGCAGCGCAGCCCTCGCAGCGGAAGTCCTGCAGCAGGCGGGTTATCGTCTCGATGTCCTTGCGCTGCACATGCTGCAGGTTGCGCACTTGCTGCCTGCATCATGGTCAAGGCAAAATCGGTGTGAACTTGAACTTTACCAGTCGCAAAAGGACACTTTTAGGAATTGGTGTCTCCCAAAACGCACCTGAGATTGTTGATCTCGTTCCGCGCAATGGTCAACTGGCTTTTCAGATCGTCCTCGTGCATTTTCGCTGCCGGCGACCCGCACTTGGCTCCCAATCAATTTGCAATTGCAGCGTACTCCGCTGTTATTGATAAATATTTACCTCGAATTCGCCCAATTGGTTGTCCAGCTAGAGGTGGCCCATCATCTACGCACGGCACCGCGTCGCTATCGATTGTCGATAGGTCAGTCCAACGTGGTGTTGGCTATGCAGCTACTTTCAAGCTGAATTTAGCTACTTTCGCCTTGTAAGAATTAACTTTTTAAATTAAATTAAATTAAATTAAAATATTAAAAATAAAACGAAATTTGGTACATTACGTTTCATAATTTAATGTATATAATTTTGTTCTACTTATTCGGCTTATTTTAAATATTCGAAGGTGTCGAACTAATGATACAATACAATTTAAATTATTAGTAATCAAAAATATAAATATAGTGGTCTTTATTTTAGCTTTTTTATGTTTCCCTTCTATTATTGATGCTCTTCTCTATATATTCGATACCAACAAAAAGCGATAAATCGCAGCGCGCGTTGCTTTTCGGTATTTTTTAGGCCCATTGTTGGGTTGAGAATGACAATCTGAATTTGCACAGTAGGTTCGATTCGAAGCGAAATTTTCCCTGCTATATACAAATTTGTAAATTCCTGTTGTTCGAAAGGTGCGTTGTTTCCGAGTATCCCCTTAAATCTACTTTAACCGGCTTTACCCATTTGCAGCCACCGAATCAAGAAACACGCATCATGTCTCGCGGAAGTTCAGCCGGCTTTGACAGACACATCACGATCTTCTCGCCCGAGGGACGCCTCTACCAAGTGGGTGAGTAACCTGGCATTCCCAGCTCCTTCTCCCCGATCTAACATTCCCCATCTCCGCCAGAGTACGCCTTCAAGGCCATCGCCCAGGAGAACATCACCACGGTGGCTCTAAAAAGCGGCGACTGTGCCGTCCTGGCCACCCAGAAGAAGGTAACCGAGAAGAATATCGTTCCCGAAACTGTGACCCACCTGTTCCGCATCACCAAGGACATTGGATGCGCCATGACCGGACGCATGGGTATGACAATAGCAACCCTTGATTTCTTCCAAGTCCCCGAAACAATCGAGCTATGTTTTTGTTGAATGGAGTACCGCGTACTCATACATATTTGTTAGGATCGTTTGATTCATAAATCGGCATTTGTTGTCTCTAGGTCTAAAAACCCGCTCTAAAAATCCACTGTATTACCAGAATATTCCGCAATATTTAGCCTAGACTATGAGTAAAATTTTTTAAAGCTATACATTAGAGGGATACAATATAATATATACAATATACAATTCCCGCAAGAGTCGAGCTCTGTTTACTCATACATATTTGTTAGGATCGTTTGATTCATAAACCGGCATTATTTGTTGTCTCTGGGTCTAAAAACCCGCCCTAAAAATCCATCTTAATACCAGAATATTCCGCCATATTTAGCTTGGCATATTAGTAACATTTTTTAAAGCTTGTTTTTCCATTTAGAGGGATAAAATGATAATGATACTTTATCAGTTTATCTAGTTGTTCGCATATATTTTGCATATTTTAAGCATATATTTTTTGCATATATTTTGCATATTTCCAATATGCATCCGAATTTATTACATTTGAAAAATATGACACCTTCCTAGAAATTTTAGTAAAAATCTTACCAAAAATGGAAGTCCGATGTCTAATGTTAAATATTTGGTTCACCCTTCCTATTACTTCTAGTTTGACTCAAAAAATGCATTGATTTTACCTGATCTGATCTAACGATTCTACTCTTTTTCCCCCTAGCTGATTCCCGCTCGCAGGTGCAAAAGGCCAGGTACGAGGCCGCCAACTTCCGCTACAAGTACGGCTACGACATGCCCGTGGATGTGCTGTGCCGGCGGATCGCCGACATCAACCAGGTGTACACGCAGAACGCCGAGATGCGTCCGCTGGGCTGCAGCATGGTGCTAATCGCGTACGACAACGAGATCGGACCCAGCGTTTACAAGACAGATCCGGCCGGCTACTTCAGCGGCTTCAAGGCCTGCTCTGTTGGCGCCAAGACCCTGGAGGCCAACAGCTATCTGGAGAAGAAGTACAAGAACAACTTGTCCGAGGAGAAGGCCATCCAGCTGGCCATCACCTGTTTGTCCAGCGTGCTCGCCATTGACTTCAAGCCCAACGGCATCGAGATCGGCGTGGTCAGCAAGACCGATCCCACCTTCCGCATCCTGGACGAGCGGGAGGTCGAGGAGCACCTCACCAAGATCGCCGAAAAGGACTAAGTTCTAAGCCCAGCTAACTGTAATTTTGTCATATTTTATAAAGCCTCTTGGATCTATGGTTAAATAAAACAATGCTCTTGGCTTGCATTCAAAACTAAGGCAAAGAGAACAAACGTTTTATTTCTTCTTGTGCACCTTACCGCCGTATCGCATGACAAAGGCGTTCACATCGAACTTGCGCCGGCAGCCCTGATAGTTCATGTACCGAACCTTGCCGAATATCGCGCGCTCCTTCCAGCCCATGTCGTGGACACCGCCAATGGACCACATGCAGCCGACATAGCCGTTGGGATCGCGTCCGTCGAGGCTGTACTTGTCGTTCAACAGGATCGCGAACTCCAGTGCCTGTTCCGGGGTGGCGGTCCACTCGAGAATCTTCTTGGCCCAGTACATGCGCAGAAAGCCGTGCATCTTGCCCTCGCGCACCAGCTGCAGTTGCGCGGAGTTCCAAAGGTCGTCGTAGGTGAGGGACTAAAAATAGGAAACCATATTAATTTTTAAGTAAGGAAAGGAACGGTTTTATTCAGTATACCATCTCTAGTTCTTCTAGGCTGTAGCACGGATCCCTCTTGTCCTTGCGATGTGCATCTAGGGTTTGGTAGGCCCACGAACTGAGGCCTTTCAGGCTATCATAGTGCTCGTTGTAGAAGCAGAAGTTGTCCGCCAGCTCGCGACGCACAATGGCCTCTTCGCAAAAGGCATCCGCGGATGCCTTGTGTTGTCCCCGAAAGCGCTGCACCTCCAGAGCGCAGCGCTGGGCCGAAATCTGGCCAAAGTGGAGCCAAGGCGAGAGTCCGGACAAGGCGTCTGCCGTGGGATCGTTCCGTTTGTCGTTGAATTTGCGCAACCGGCGGGTGCAGAACTCGTAGAGCTGCTGGCAGGCCGCCCTGTAGCCCGGCTTGGCCCACTGCACCTCGTCCACGTCCATGTCGCACTGCAGCATGGCATAGGCAGCTTCCCAGTCCACGGGTTTCGCCTCCTGGCAGCCCGTTCCATGCGGATGCTGCACCACGGGCGGAAATTCGCTGAGAAACTCGCCCAGCTTCGAGTTGATCTTGTTGCGAATGGTGCGGGCAGCGTACTCCTGCTTATCCGAGGCCACCCACAGGGGAACCACATTGTGGGCATCGACCTGCACCAGCGGCACGCTCTTGGGCAGCGCCTTGCCCACATCCTCGACCCACTGGCGCGGCAAGCGCAGCGGGGCAAAGTCGCAGACTACGGCTCCTATGTTCCGGGATTTCACGAATTCCGGCAGCTTCTCCGCGGCGGGACCCATTAGCAGGTGGAAGGGAATGGCCAGGGAGCGACACTGCTGCTCCACCTCCTGCAGGCCGCCCATCATGAACTTGTAGTGCCGGATGGTGGCATTCAGGAATTTGGGAACCAGGCAAAAGACCACCGACAACGGCAGCTCCAACTTGAGCGCCAAACGCTGGGCGAAGAGCAGGGCCCAGTTGTCCTGGACGCGGCCGTCGCGGGACATCCAATAGACGACGCCTCCGTCGGAGGATTCCTTCACATCTTCTGTTTTGGACAGGACACGCACTCGCTTCTTCCGGAAGGAGAATTCCTGAATGCTGGGCGCCGTGCAGGATCGCTGGTGTTCCAGGTGGGTAAGGAACTGCTCGAAGTTCTGGTAATCCGGCTTGGAAGCCAGCAAAGCCTTCGAAGTGGATGGCTCCGCATCACTACTGTCCTGCTCACTTTGTTCCTCTTCCTTTGAGCTGTCCTCCTGCTTTTTGGCGGGCTTCTTGGAGGGACCTGCCTTCGTCGCCTTGGTCCGCTTCATCGTGTGTATGGGGGGAACCTGGATATAATAAAAACTACTTTATTGGCGTTCCAATAATTCTGGGTAACTCACGATCTTGAACGATTGGCGCCAATGGGCTGCAAGTGTAAACATTACTGCGTGGCGGGATGGCAACTCTTTCAGCTGTTGAAAGGAATGTAAGCAAAGAATATGGCCGCACTTTAAATACCCTTTATTATGGCTATTTTTCTTTCAATATTTTATTTTGCAAAAAAACAAGTAACGAAGTTAGCTTCGGCATGCCAAAGTTTGTATACCCTTGCAGTTCAAATATGTAGAAACTTATAGTTGAATTAGCCTTCTTTTACCCTTTTTTGGTATATCAGATGTATTAATGCACATTTTTAGATTTTTTCGTCAAAATCAAAATGCCTATTTCCTATGAGAGCCATATTATATAGTGGTCCGATCCGGCTCGTTCCAACACGGTAAATAAATGTCGAAAGGGCCTAATTGAGGGATATTCAAGTAGTCACTGAAATTACTTGTTGGGTAGAATAGCCTATATGAATTTTAAAATAGCCCTATTGATCACGATATCCCTAAATTATCGATTACCGAGAAAACACAACCTTGAAAGCGCAAACCGAAATCGACGAACTGACGCTGCTTTGCTTAATATTAAAATATATATTTGTGGATAAAAATGGAGAGGTCAGTGACCGAAGCGACATTTATTGCCAACATTGAAAGGACTGCACGATCCACACTGTTGCCAAGGTCCAACGTGCCGATTCACACGGAGATGATAGAGTACGCAGTGGCCTCGACCCGATTGTTTTTTATTCACCACCCTTCCGCCTGGCGTCAATGGACCTCAAAGAACGAGGCTTTCGAGGATCTTTCTGCCCAGGATGCCTGTGACATTTTCCAGACCGAAGTTCTGCCCCAGTTGGACACTTACAAGCTGCCGCAGCCGACTAAGAGACGCCTAAAGCTCTTAGACATGCATCCTTTCTTCAGTCGCGTCGAGAATGGCTATCAGTACACTCCAGATCCCAAACTAACATCTCAATTCGCACTGCAGCACCACCGCGATTTCCTCCTCACTGGAGATGTCCAGAAATACAAGGTAAGTACAATAAATCAATCAACTTAAATATGTTCGTACTTTAATAACGAACTATTAGACTTAAACTAAACTAGATCGTCCCCAAAAAATGAAGTATCTTAATAAAAACCAAATGTCCTGGAAAAACCTACCGTAATAATATTGTGAAATAATAATATTAGTTTTAATAATGTGGATTTATTTTTTTCATTTACCTGATGTATGTTATTTCTTTAATTTTTATAAGTATACATAATGTATACTATACATACGTATTACCTTATGAAAAAACAACTTACATGTCGGAACACCAAAATAATCTGCTATTATTCACACACATTGGATAAAACTCATATCTTATCAAATTTTCTTTCCCTTTATAGAAAATCGGGTTTGAAGGACGATCCCAAATCGTGGTTATAGACAAAGAAGAGGCAGAGCGGATGACTTGTGTTGGATACAACAGCAAAGTAAGTCACGAGACTTCTGTGTTGTTATCGGTAATGTTCTCCACTGATAAGGAGCTTTCTATTGGCCAAATGCAAGATCTCGGTGAGATTCACCAACGAATGCGTCGTGCCAAACAGGCCTTCGAGGATACTGCCAAACATTTTCCATTCCGTCTAAACATTGATGATCTGGTTTACAATATGGAGATCTTTGTTAAGGTGAAGTCTAAAATTTGCAAAGTGTTGAGTGATTTTAGAAACAAAGAACTGGTTGCTGTTTTATAACTTTTGTTAATAGTTTTGTAAAACTATGCGAAATCATCAGAAATACGAAACTAAGAAGGTGTACTAAAAATTTGAATGGAATACATTTTCAGTTGCTTACATTAATTTGCATCTATTAATTTGTGCACAATTTAAAAAATTTAATTATTTTAAAAGCTGTCAATTCTGACACGTGAAACGTCATAGTACACACTACTATCATTTTTTATGTTCATATCCGCTTATCATTATTATTATATTGACACTTTATACTTATTAGGCGGCACTCTCAGCCTATAAACAAAAATTGAAAAATTAAATTTGTCTTTTACTTTAAACACACATAAATATTAAACCATGTACTTCGTACTTGATTTCTCTTGAACTATTCGTATTAATAAAACACTAAGATTGTTAAAAAAGTTTTGACCAAACTGAGTTATTTAGTTGCAACAGCGTATTTATTTTGGTGTGTGGGTATTATTTAATTTTTTCCGGGCAATGAGAAGGATAATCGGGCTCTATCGATTGTTAATTATTTTGAAATCAATAACTTCTTACTACATTTATTGGGGCAATTCGTGATTTGGGTTCTAAATACATTTCGTTAAAAGTTATATGCCTTCGTTAAATGAGAGTCTAGGAACAAACTAAAAATTAGTACGTATCTATTAGAGCCCTGCACAAGTATACTCGTAGAGCCCTTTTAAATGAGAGTCTAGGAACAAACTATAAATTAGTACGTATCTATTAGAGCCCTGCACAAGTATACTCGTAGAGCCCTTTTTCTCCCATTTCAAAAAACAGCTCGAGTAAATCAGCTCACAAAAATGTTCAAATCGAATAGCTCAGCTCCTAAATTTTTACAATGAGTTACTCGACTCGTTCGAAAACAAAGGGCTCATGGAATCATAAGCTCATGGAATCATGGGCTCGAGTAGCTCAGTTTTTCGACCGGAGCTGAAAAAACCTTTTTTTTTTTATTTTGCAATAATTTGGATGAAGGATTTTTGTGGCTTTTTATGCAACCGCAATATCTTAAGATCAACTCGATTTAATATGTTGTCGTCTTCAACAATTATCTTTGTTAAAAATTAAAAAATAATAAAACCTTTCTCCGCCCAAGAATCGCTATAAATAAATAGCTACCCTCGATGGACCGCAATTTTTTTTAACAGTTTGCCAAAAAATTGCTTGTCGACCATAGTTTTCCTGTAACCGCCTCTTCTTTTTTTTGATTCTTAAGAAATCGCGGTCCACCGAAGATAATTATTTTGCTGCTTTTACTAGTGAATAATAAAACGTTTCTCCCCCCAAGAATCGCTAAAAAAAAATTACCCTCTACGGACCGCGATTTCTTAAGAGTTTGCTAAAAAAAAGTACTGGCGGTCGGCCATCATTCTCTTATAATCGTTTTCTCTTTTTGTAAATAAAATACTGTATATTTGTTTATTGTAAATGTTTGACATTAAGCCCTTGGAGCTATTTCTGTTCGTTTGTTTGGTTTGTTTTTTTTGACATGAGCTACTCGAGCCAAGCTGTTTGAAAGGGCTCTTGGAATCATAGGCTCATGGGAGGAGCTCTTACTCGATGATTCTATGATCCCATGACCTATGATTCCAAAGTCACAAACAAACAGCTCAAGCTCAAGCTCAGAGCTGATTTTAAACTCTACTCGTGCAGGGCTCTACTATCTAAGTATTAAGGTATTCCTAACACAGATTATCCTACCAGTCAAAACAAGTTGATTTAATAATTGTATCGTATCAATTGTAATTTTAAAAATACGTAGAGTTTACTAAAAAATAAAACAATTCCCAGACGTTCCAAGCGAACTATCGAGTCTCCAGAGTGCCAACCTCGCGCTAGGTATAATTTAGTGCCTTATCTGTGCTGAATCATTTTCGCTGTCCCGCAATATTTAATTAACTGCAGCGCGAGATCATTGCAGTTTTAGCCGTCAGTCAAGTGAAACATACAAAAACCAAAATGAAGAAGGCTGCCCTGCTGCTGGTCGCCTTCCTGGCTGTGGCCGTGGCCCAGTCGAATCAGCTCAAAAAGCCCGGATTCCTGCGTGTGCCGCTCAAGAAATTCCAGTCGGCTCGCCGCCACTTCGCCGATGTGGGCACAGAGCTGCAGCAATTGCGCATTAAGTACGGCGGAGGCGATGTTCCGGAGCCGCTGTCCAACTACATGGACGCCCAGTACTACGGACCCATTGCCATCGGCTCGCCGCCGCAGAACTTCCGGGTGGTGTTCGACACCGGGTCCTCCAATCTGTGGGTGCCCTCCAAGAAGTGCCACCTGACCAACATCGCCTGCCTGATGCACAACAAGTACGATGCCAGCAAGTCGAAGACGTACACCAAGAACGGCACCGAGTTTGCCATCCAGTACGGTTCGGGCAGCTTGTCCGGCTATTTGTCCACGGACACCGTGTCCATTGCCGGTCTGGACATCAAGGATCAGACATTCGCCGAGGCGCTCAGTGAGCCCGGTCTGGTCTTCGTGGCCGCCAAGTTCGACGGCATCCTGGGCCTGGGCTACAGCTCCATTTCGGTGGACAAGGTGAAGCCCCCGTTTTACGCCATGTACGAACAGGGCCTGATCTCGGCTCCCGTGTTCTCCTTCTACCTGAACCGCGATCCCGCCTCCCCCGAGGGCGGTGAGATCATCTTCGGTGGCTCCGACCCCAGCCACTACACGGGTGAGTTCACCTATCTGCCTGTCACCCGCAAGGCCTATTGGCAGATCAAGATGGATGCTGCCTCCATTGGCGATCTGCAGTTGTGCAAGGGCGGTTGCCAGGTGATTGCCGACACGGGAACCTCGCTGATTGCTGCTCCCCTGGAGGAGGCCACCTCCATTAACCAGAAGATCGGCGGCACTCCCATCATCGGCGGACAGGTGGGTATCTTGTGCTAGGGAATATCCTGCAAAGTCATTAATCCATTTGGTATCTCCTTTCAGTACGTTGTTTCCTGCGATCTTATTCCCAATCTCCCGGTCATTAAGTTCGTGCTAGGCGGCAAGACCTTCGAGCTGGAGGGCAAGGACTACATCCTCCGAGTGGCCCAGATGGGCAAGACCATCTGCCTGTCCGGCTTCATGGGCATGGACATCCCCCCGCCCAATGGACCCCTGTGGATCCTGGGCGACGTTTTCATTGGCAAATACTACACCGAGTTCGACATGGGCAACGATCGTGTGGGCTTCGCCGATGCCAAATAATCGAACAAAGAGAAATATACTTAACATTTAAATTGTAAACATTATCGATCTTTCTCCGAAGAACCTACGGAATATATATGTACTAGCTATAAAGTTTCTTTGTTTGATTGCGAGCTGTTTATGCCAATTTTTTGCTTACTTATCAGCCAAATGTATTTTGCTTGCTCTGCTCTTTGATAAGGTCCCAAGCATTATATTATGTGTGTGTATATATATATATATATATTGCATTTGTCATGATCAGTGGCGAGGCTAACTGAAAACGAATGTACATGACTGTCTGCGGTGCTTTTTCCACTCAATTAATTTGTATAATGTATTTTTCAAACAGAGTGAAGCTTGAACCAGCCAGTTGATAAGGAATCTCGGGGGATCAACGGCTTCCTCTGTTGTCATTTAATTAACACAACTCTACAAAGTGCAGAAAATTCTATTAACATTTATTTACTCATTCTGATCGTGGTGATCAGAGACTTTTCTGGTCGTCCATAAAGTTCCAAAAACCAAACAACAAAAATCATTTTTGGAACAACTTGTTAAATTGCCTTCTTTATTCCTAAGAAAAATTATGAACTTGTTCGATTAACAAATATACTGTTGATTTGGAAAATATGAATTTTTCAACGGTTTATTTGTATGTGATTTTGCAAGAAATGGACAAAAACTAAAATGTCCACATGGAATGCTAATTGGTTGTGAATTTAATTTGAACTTCTGTGTATTTTTGTTTTGGCAAAAATAGTATTTTACCTCACAAATTAAACTTAAAATTTATCCATTATCTATTCACATTTAAAAATTGTTATTTTTAAGTTTGCAGCTTTTTAAAAAAAACTTAGCTTAGAATTCAAACAACAAAAACCTAAGGAATTTTGAAAATAAAAAACCGGAACGGGCTTATTCAGATGAAAACGAAAGGTTTTGTCAACCCATTAAAGCCACCGTTCTAAGGGCCGTTTTCTCGTCCGCCTGTTAAATTTAAAGTAGGGTTAAAACTCTGATTTCCCATACGAGGTTTTAACCTTACTTTAAATTTAACAAACGGACGAGAAAACGGCCCTAAGAAAGCATAATTTCACAAGGATATATGTACATTTTGCATACAAGCCCTTCGTGACTCCAGTGAATCACTGCTACTGATAAAATCAGGCCCCCACAATAATGATCCGCTCCCGTTTCACCTATATAAATCTATTGTTTTTGCCGGGCCTATCAGCTGGCAGTCATTTGAGATAGCCTTAGACCCGAACCGAAAGAATTGAAAACAACTGGCGCGTGTGGGTTCTTCCGGATCGATGTCAAGTCTGACGTATGTTCGAGTCCACCGCATTTGTAGAGAACTTTTCGGCGGGCCAGCGAATGCCTCCATTGGCTGGCCGGGTTATCAATGGAACCCCATGCGCGGTGACAGTGCCCCTGAAGTGACCTTTGTACCGGGACTGAATCAGCACAAGTAGACGATAGCCGCTTAAAAGGTACTTGTGTAGTTGCGAGAACAATCCATGCAATCGAACCTGTTTATCTTATCTGTAATTTAAGTTTTAAAGGATTTGAAAGTGGAGCTGTTTTAACTTACTAAAAAGTTACTAAATTCGAGCTGAATTGCTTTGTAACAAATATATTTAGGCTAATTATTGAACAGTATTTGTATAACTCGAAAAATATAAGCTAGAAGGCCTAATTTCAGGTAGCCAAGTTTGACTATAGAGAGTAAAAATAGCGGCTGATTAAATAAGATGACCATTTAATACTATGCAAAGACACTTAGCTAATAGATACAGGCTGGCTCCTGCTCATTTCGGCTTGACATTGGCCGCCAGTTCGTCGGCGGTCGTCGTGGATGTGTCTGCGGCGGTGACGGTTTCCGGCTGGACCTCCACCTCCACCGTCTTCGCCGTGCTCAGGCTGGGCTCGCGCTCCTCGTCGGACTCCGTGGACTCGCGGATTAGCTGCAGGGGCGTCGTGATCAGCTTGCCACCCGGCAGCTTGTACATATCACAGGTCTCGTTCACATAGCGGTTGAAGACGTCCGGCTTGTCGGCGTACACATGATGGCCGGCTCCCGTCACGATCTTGATGTCCACCATGTTGCTGCCGCGCTGCGACTTGATCTTCTCGCCCGACGAGGAGTCTATCCACGAACGGGAGCCGTAGATGAATGTGATGGGTATGTCGCTGCGCACGTCCTTGATGCGGTGGATCATGGGGTGCTTGGCCCAGCCGAAGGACTGCATCATTGTGTGGAAGGCGGACTCGCCGCTGGGGCTCTGGGCATTGCACTGGTGGATGTACTGCGGCAGCAGGTTGATGTCCTCCTCGATTGTGCTCTGGAACTTGCGCATGATGTCCGGCCGCGTCTTCTGCACCACCCACTGACCGAAAGGTCCGGCGGCGCGCAGAGCCCACAGCGGATTGAGCGGGGTCAGAACCCTAGCTATGGCCCGCACCCAGAGCGGTATGGTCTTGCCGTTGGTCGAGTCCGAGGGCTTCTCGGGGAAGCCCCAGGGATCGGCCAGTATCAGGTGCTTGACCCGCTCCGGGTAGCTCAAAGCGTAGCTGGAGGCAATGAAGCCGCCCATCGAGTGGCCCAGCAGGATCATTTCGTTGAGGTTCATCTCGCGGCGCCACTCCTCCACCGACTTGACGAACTGCTTCTCGCACACCAGCGCATCCTTGGCGAACAGCGGCCGCGAGCTGCGTCCAAAGCCCAGGATGTCCATGGCGTAGACGGGGCGACCCTTGGCGAAGGCGTCCAGGTTCATCACCCACAGGGCGATGCCCGCTCCCAGGCCGTGGAGCAGCACGAGCGGCACCTCCTTGGACTCGGTGTTCATGCTGATCGTCCAGATCTTGTCCGCCTCGCCCACGGCCGGCCCGATGTCCACGAAGAAGCCCCGGTAGGGCAGCTTCACGTACGACAGTATCTTCTTCTCCACGGCGCGCAGCATGATCGGTGAGCTGGATGTCCAGTTACACAACCATTTCCAGAGAAAGAATCCTTTGTTTCGGGGATCCTGTAGAGAGAGAGGGGGTAAGTGAATTTGCAGTGGGGTAAGGGCTAGGTTTTAGGGTTCGCTGGGCACCTCTAGCCGCTGGCCATGCGATCCATGCCAGGTGTTCCGACCCGAAAATTACTTAACCAGCGGCCGTCGGTCAATTGCGCAGTTGTTTGCAAAATGGGAAGATATTTTTGAGGGAATCTCTCGTGATTCAGAGCCGACTGAGTTGGGATACTGGAGCTGGGACGTGGGACCTGGACCCGCTGCTTACCTCTAGGTCCATGCCCTGCTTGGATCCCGATCCCTGCTCGACTGCGGGCGGCGGCAGGTTGGCAATGGAGACGGAAGTGGAGGTGGGCGGCGGATCCACCACGTCGCCGCTCGCCAGTGCCAGCGGTGCGCTCATTTCGCTCGCGGTGATCTCGATCTCACTCGAGAACTGTGGAAGAGTAGAGTGTGCGGGGCGGGAGGTCTGGCTCTGTTTCTGGTGTCCTAACAACAATATTCCGCCACCATTTGCGCGCTACGTGCGTACCCGTCGAAAGGCGAGAGTTTCATGAAAATACGAGCGAAAGTAAATTCTAATTTGTACCCCTAGTACTGCCGAGTTGTGATGACTTTGAACTTCTGCTAATGCTCCGCGGCAAGTGCTTGGTTTGGTCTGATTCGTGCGTTGATTCGTGTCGCAATTACATGTTATCTATTCTAATGGTGAAATACTCATTGTTGTTGCTAATCTGCTGGTGGGGAGAGCCACTGACCAATACAGGCGCGCGGTCGCCGTGTAAACACAAACCGAGTGCGGTCACACCATCAGCTGGGCTGCTCAGCTGTTCGCCGGCAGTGTTGAGCAACAGTTGGGCAAAGGGCATGGACGTTGTTGTGGAGCGAAGCAAGGGGGGCTCTTATATTGATTTAAGCTCTGGTTAAATTTTGATTTCGAAATTCGAAAATGATGTTTATTTCTTCAATTTGAAAATTTAACGTTGCCTTCTGGGCAATAAATATACTTACGATGTCGGTAAATTCAAAATATTTATTTCTAGGACATTTAAACTAGTTTTGAGGGAACTTGATTTTGGGATTTTGTCTTTTTTTTTAGTTATTTGCTTAATTTAGTTTATATTCTCGTTCCTATAGCTAAATCATTGAAAAATAAAGGTAATTTTCTAGTAATTAAAGTTATGTTTTAAGACTTTGAAGAAGTAAATAATTTAATTTAAATCTTGTTATTGGGAACCAACGATAAAGTAAGTTTTCTTTAAACTAATTTTAATATTACTGAGATACAAAAAAATCATACGTTTAATTTTGGTATTGGTAGTATGCATAAAACCGTTTCCTCTCAAAAAGCTTTTTAAGAATAATTCTAAAAACCAAAGAACTAATAAGATACTGATCCTATAAATAGGGTCTTTCGCAGCTGGAGGCCCCGAAGAAGCAGAGATACGCATCACTGGACGCCCGGCACAAACGGTCACTTTATCAGGGACCTTGTGCTTTTCTGCTCCAAGAATATCGCAACTCGCACTCTGCACATGGACGGCATTAACAAGTACAACGAATTTGTGGCGCTGCACAAGCCGCAGCTGGAATCCTCTGCGATTCCGGTGCACTTTTGGCCAGCCCTCTACCGGAAACTGGCCACGGACACCTTCGACGCCGGCGAGGCACTGCAGCTGATGCTGATTGACTACGACGACGACGATGCGGAGCAGAATCCCGCCGAGGATGACGACAGTCCCAATCCGGTGTTCGCCTTGGGCGTGGCCCGGGAGCAGGGCGTGCAGGCGAAGGATCCGCAGGCCATCTACCTGGTCGATCACGCCTGGACATTCCGGCTAAACAGCGCCCGGCAGCAGTTGGAGCAGCACTCGCAACTGGCCGACCGACTGTCGGCCATCACTGGCGTGGATCTGGAGCTGGAGAACCGGGTGGATAAGATACTGCGCCGCCTGTGGAAGTACTGCCAGGCCTACTCCCTTGGCAGCGAGGGTCTGTCGGATGAGGATCGCCAGCCCATCTGGTATGTGATGGACGAGGTTGGCTCGGCGGTGAACCACTCGGATGAGCCGAACTTTCGGCTGGTTCCGCTGCTCTACCTGAACACCCAGACCACGTACAGTGTGCTCTTCCCGATCCGGGACTGCGAAGTGGGCGATCAGGTCACCCGCGATGCGGTGGAGTACGTGGCCAAGGAGGCGCCGCAGCGGGCTGCGCTGCTCCTGCCGTGGCGCGATGCGGATCTAACTGGCGAGAGCTTCTTGCAGGTGGAGCCCTCACCAGATTACTTCATAAGCGGTCACATCCCGGAGACGTATCCCAAGGACAATACCGATCCCCTGCCGGCCAGGTCACGATGCGATCCCCTGAAGGTCTACGCTGAATACGAGGTGGTGCGTCAGCATCTCACTTCGCCCGAGTTCATCCTGGTTGCCAACGAAGACGAGGCGGATGTCCTCTGGCTCACACATCACTTTAAGAACTTTGAGGAGTTGGCTGATCAATCGCCCGGCAAGTTTATCAACCAGTTTCCGTTCGAGTACGTCATCACCGTCAAGGATCTGCTCAGCATTGTCGGCCGAAGGGCGGCCAAGGAGCACCACAATGGCCTTACGCTGGAAACGTATCCCAGTTGGCTCCCCACCACCTATAATTTGGCCACGGAACTCCGTCAGTTCGCCGCCTATTACCAAACGAGGGCAGCCAAAGGCCTCGACAATCACTGGATCATCAAGCCCTGGAATTTGGCTCGCGGCCTGGACACCCACATCACGGACAACATCAAGCAGATTGTGCGTCTGCCGGCCACTGGACCTAAGATCGCCCAGAAGTACATAGAGCGACCGGTCCTCTTCAGTCGCGAGGAGTTGGAGGGGCGCGTCAAGTTCGACATTCGCTATGTAATCCTCCTGAAGTCCGTTAAACCCCTGAAGGCCTATGTGCACCGCAAGTTCTTCCTGCGCTTCGCCAATCATCCCTTCTCCCTGGACCACTTCGACGACTACGAGAAGCACTACACGGTGATGAACTACCAGGAGGAGGCGCAGCTGCATCACGTGAAGTGCGACGACTTCCTCGCCCTCTGGCAGGAACAGTATCCGGAGAACAGTTGGTCGGCGCTGGAGCAACAGATCTGTGAAATGCTCCACGAGGTGCTGCAGTGCGCCAGTCAAGCAGATCCACCCTGCGGACTGGCTCCTTGTGCCCAATCCCGAGCTCTGTACGCAGCCGACATCATGCTGCGGTGGAAGGACGGTGGGGAGAAGGTGATGGAGCCGCAGCTGCTGGAGATCAACTGGACACCCGACTGCAAACGCGCCTGCGACTACTATCCCGACTTCTTCAACGACATTTTCCGGCTGCTCTTCCTGGACGAGGACAACGACGACAGCTTTCGGCTGCTGACAGCAGACAACTAACAATAAACACGGTTTCGTAATGCTTAATGCTTATTCGTGTATTTCATTTAGACTATACAAAACTTAAATAGCTTGCCATTTGTACAATATACAAGTAGGTGTGTATGCTTCTATGCGTGGGGAACCAAGTGCTTAAGGCTTAACTAACTAGGACAGCGAGTCAGTTGGTGGTGTAGCTTATCTTTCTATCATAGCTTGGACAAGTTATAAAGTCATGTAGTGTAGAGTTCAAAGAGTGAGCTTACAGTTAACGCGTTTGCAATTCTCAATTGCAAATGGCACTTGATGAACGATGAACAATGGTAAATAGTGAAGTGACAATTATACAGGATGATATCCCAAGAGTTTATATTAACTTAAGGCAATTTTAAAGGCACCCCAGTCAAGCGAAGTTCACAGTGGAACGGAAACGATAAAGTCAATGTTATAGTCTTCTACATAAGCTGTCAAGGGTCTTGTACTTGGCTTAGTTCTTCATTCAACACGTGCGATCTTGGCCTAACTCTGAATAATACATGTACGAACTAATAGTGTGAAAATGCAAGTGAAAAATGTCAATGGATGAATCTTAAGCTAGCTAGGTGGTACACCTAAAATATCGCTTACAGCTAAGGCTTGACTACAACCACTAAACGCAGGCCTCGTCAAAGTCCAGGCGTATCTTCTCATCGGCGGAAGCTAGCTTATGTATAGTCTTTTTGATGCGCAGCGCTGGTAGGCGCACGTTGGGGTTTTGGTGCCAGCACTCCTTCATGAGCTTGGACATGCCAGCCAGTAACTAAAGATTGCAAACAATTAGATTTTAGGTTCGTACATCTGATTCGGAGATCTGACTTACCGAATCTGAGCTCCAGCGATTGGGAATGGAGGGCCTGTAGTTGTCGATGCAGACCACCTTGCGCATATCCTCAAAGCTGGGATCCATGGGCACCACATCGTAAAAGGGCACCTTGTACTCCTCGGCAATGCCGCACGAAATGGTGCGGCGACAAACCTCCCACAGGATCAGTCCAAAAGCATAAATATCTGTGCGTCGCAGTGCCTCAAAGCATTCCAAATCAATGCTGTGGGAAACAAAATTGTTATTCAAAAAATTTTTAAGCATACTGCTAATAAATACACACCTTTCATCCAGAACCTCTGGGGCCATGTAGCGCTTGGTGCCCACTTTTGGATTGTTGCCCAGATCCAGTTGTCCTGTAACATGCGAGTGGGTGACGGCCAGTCCAAAATCGGCTATCACGCAGGAACCATTCGAGTTGACCAATATATTCTTTGACTTCAGATCTCGATGAGCCATTGCCGGCTTTCCTTGCTTGCCGAATATCTCTGTGTGCAGGTGCACCAGGCCGTTGGCTATTGAAAGGCAAATCCATACCATGTCGTTGTGACTTAGAGCGTTGCGGTTCAGGTGATCGAAGAGCGAGCCCAGTGGGTAGTAGTGCGTCATCAGCCAGAGTTGGGTGCACGAGTTGCGCGACGTCATGTCGGAGCCGATGAAGCCGAGAATATTTTCATGGCGGAGCAAAATGGTGCTGAAACATAGGGGTTCGGTTATTAATGATGATTCATAACGCAACAGGTATTTAAAGCTATTTTACTAAGCAACTATTCTCATCTATTAATGTAGAAATGCCCTATGGAATTATTTTTTATTTATTTATATAAAGCAAACTTAAAGTTAAAACTATAAGCTAAGTAAGACTAGCAGCTAAGGCCTTCAGCTCGTCTGAAATGTCGAATTAGAAACATTTTTATTTTTATAATTGTGAATTTAGATTTTGAGCTTGATTTGGGCTTTTTCAAGGTGTCGAATTAGATACATTTTTATTTATTATTTGAATTTAGATTTTGAATTTATTTTGGGAGTTATATTTAAAAGAATTATCTGATGTGAAGAATTTACGAATGGGTTTATTCGTACACTTATACTAGAACTTATATCCGAAACTTAGAATGGATATTAAATTAACTTATGCCTTTATTCAGCAGTATAAGAAATCATTTTGTCCTCACCTGTAGATCTCTGTCTCCCGTTTCCAGGACTCCTCGTCGCGGCTGAAGAATATCTTGACGGCGATGCTCTCGCCGTGCCAGTGACCGCGCCACACCTCGCCGTACTTGCCCCGTCCGATGCACTCGATCAGCGTGACCTGTTTGGCCAGAGTGCGCTGCACCAGCAGGGGCAGTCCGCTGCCCGATCCCGAGGTCACCGAGTGCTGGAGGTACTCCCTGAGCGTACTGTCACCGGCGCTGGTGGCCCGCAGCAGCTCGTCGTTGACCAGATAGGCCTCCGGGTCCTGCTTGGTGCGCGAGGCCGCCAGGCGCTTGCGATGATTGCGGCGGATGAAGTAGATGGTCACGGCGCCCAGGAGGGCGATGATCAGAAATGGACCCAAAATGGCGGCGGACATCTTGCTTATGTTACTGGTGTCTGCCGTTATGACCGTCACATCATTGGCAAAGGGCAGCAGCTCGGGGTAATCTCCATCGTTGCAGTAGTCGCCGGCACAGCAGGCCACATTCACGTACTTGGCCGTGTTGCGCTTGCTGGGCGCATTGATCTTGAGCGAATTCTGGCTGCAGTACATGGGCAGTTGGTCCGGCGAGGTGATGCAGCCGCGGGACACTTGCTCCTGGCCATTGCCATCACGAGTGCGCGATTTCCAGCACTGTTGTTGGGGAAACATAAATTTAGTTCCGCATTCTGGCGGTTTCTAAAATCATAACTCACCTGAATGGCATTCTGGCAGGTGTGGGAAAGTTCATACGGATCCGTGCAGGGCGGCTCGCAAGAGTAGCATTTATATCTGTTGGAAGACAGGGATTTAATAATCAAATTGTAAACAAAATTGAAAAAGGACAGAACTAAATATAATATGAATCATACAGAATTGGTATTTTAATGATATACATTTTTAATATGAATATAAATATTTATATATAAGTTTGTTATTCGCGAACAATTTTTATACCCTTGCAGAGGGTATTATGATTTCAGTCAGAAGTTTGCAACGCAGTGAAGGAGACGTTTCCGACCCCATAAAGTATATATATTCTTGATCAGCATCACAAGACGAGTCGATCTAGCCATGTCCGTCTGTCCGTCTGTCCGTCTGTCTGTTTCTACGCAAACTAGTCTCTCAGTTTTTGAGCTATCGGGACGAAACTTTCGCAAAAGTCTTCTTTCTATTGCAGGTAGTATATATGTCGGAGCCGACCGGATCGGACAACTATATCTTATAGCTCCCATAGGAACAATCGGAAAAAAAAACTTTAAAAAATTCTAGCTTCGGTGTTTTTTGAAATATTACCTTCTACTTTTGGGGATGTTATTTTTTAAATATTTTTGAATTTCGAATAAATTATTTAAAAAATCGGACTACTATATCATATAGCTGCCATAGGAACGATCGGAAAATTAATGGAAAAGTAATAGGAAATAAATTCAAGCTTCTTTGCTTTTTATTGTATTATCTTCTACTCTAGGATATGACTCTTTTTAAATATTTCCGAATTTCAATTTTAATTTAATCAAAATCGGACGACTATATCATATAGCTGCCATAGGAACGATCGGAAAATTAATGAGAAATATTAGAAAATTGAACATTTTTGCGATTTGTTAATTAATAGGAATGATCTGCAAGGGTATATAAGCTTCGGCTGGCCGAAGCTAGCTTCCTTTCTTGTTTATAATGAATTGAATATATTAGTTTGTTAGTCTATTTAACGTTAACATTTAATATACTTTTAAATAAATATTATATTATAATATAAAAATCATCTAATACAAATTGTTTAAAAATAACTCTTTAAGCCATAAATTTAATCAAAAATGTTTTATAAATTTTTAAAAATTATCGGTGTTCTAATTTAACGGTTTCTTGGTTATTCTTAAATTTAAACATTTTAACTTCGTAGGAAATGTTTCGGTTCAATGACATTTCCTGGGATACCTCAAATTTATCAAATTCCCTTTTTTAGATTTCTGCAACTTTTACCTTCTTTTCATGCGGCGCTTACTCTTAATGTGTCTCCTAATCAAGGATTAGCAGCATGGTAATTGGGTGATAATAGAGGTTAGCGATACAGCAAATTTTCGACAAAAGCGGGGATTTATGCTGAAAGGTAGGGCCAAGCTCAAGATGCAATTACCTGGGATGCGTCTGCACAGAGTTCTGAGGAACGGCCGGGAACTCCTTGCCATTGATATGGGAGGAGGATGAGGGCTCCATGTCTATATCCGGTATGTCCTCACGTAAATGATCGCTGATTTCGGCTGAAAAACAACAAATGCACATTAAAACATACATACATCCATGCAAGGCCCCACCACTACCACAGGCACACAAACACACAGGGGCCCCAGCAAGTTCTGTATACACACACGGAACTGTGGTGTGCGTGGGCAAATCATTAAGAAAATGCACTTATGCTGCAAAACGCCCACGGCATCCATTTATATAATGCGTTCCATACGCTATTCCACCTTTCAGTTTTCACTAATGAGCATCCCGAGAACACCTTTACTCATCTAGCCTCGTCAAATACGCAGCACAATTGGCCAGAACAGCAGCATATGAAAACAAATCGGTCCCATCGAAAACATTCAGTCACTTTTCAAGCACTTTGTTTGGGCCTTTAAACCCTTCGCCACGAGCGTTTCTTATTTGCACCGCCTTCCTAAAACACTCCTTAATTTATTAACACTAACTAAAACCCACCTCTGGCATTATGGTATATTGAAAACGACAATAGAAAAACTAAAAATAAATTGGACTCCATTGCTCCATTCCGTTTTAGAGTGCGTACAGTGTGCCCAGAGCGCGTTGAAGGGGAGAACGTGAAAAATAAATATACCAAAAATACTAGGCCTTTGAATTCCCTAAATGGCCTGCGTAAATATACCAAAGCATTGCACACACACAAGCACGAGCAGCCGGTCCAGCGGAAAAGTTTCTAGAACGTCAAACTCGAACTCCATTACAGAAATCTATTAAAGAGCAGCTGAGTGATTATTTATTATTATAATTATTGCACTGCAGTTGACACAACAAAAGCAATAATATAAACATTACAGGTGAGTGGGGGGTGTGTGTTATTAAGAGTAAACCATAGTTCCAGGGGGTTATAGGACATGTAAGTTGTTGCCCTAGTTGAACCCACAATAGAGATGTCCAATAAATGCAAATACTCTTTAGAGTCTATCTAATAACTATAACTAGGTAATACTATAAAGGTTTTCACCACTACAGCGACCGGTTTGTCCAGAAAATCAATTAGTTTTAGGTCGTATCGATCAAACGAGAGTTTTCCCCCTCCTTTCCACCGCAAACATGTGTTCGGTCACGTAACTGTTATAATTTTCCTCGTTTTCCTCGGAGAGGAGATACACACGCAGTAGGGAATACTATATCTAGACAGTCCCCTATTTACCGCCCACCCAGTACTCAGATGTGTATATCGGTTGACCGTTGGTAAACATTACAATTATTATCACTGTGTATACACATATCTATGTATGTAAAGATATAGTCGTTTATTGTACAATTAGTTGGGTTGCGCCAGAAATCGCATAATGTGTGGGGGCGGAGGAAATGGTCGGGAGGCGGGGGAAGAATCTCGCTAAACAAAAACAATTGGGGGCAAGTGGTTTTTTTCGCGCTTATCAAGAGCCCCTCACTGCGCAGATACCGCTCTCTTGGGCTCTCGAAGCCCCTCCAATATTTGCCGGCGTTTCGGGCGTACCGCTCTCATTCTTATAAACACGCTCGTCGGGAAAGCATCGCTCCCAAAAACACAAACAAAATAAAATAGAATAAAAAACACGTATGTGAGTAAAACGCGTCTCCCTAGAATTTTAGAAACTACGCAGTTCGTTTATTTATTGGCCGACAAATAAAATAGCGCGTGGTCAGTTTATAGTCACTTACATAATGCCCATAATACGAACAATAATACGGCGGATAGCCGGCGATTTTTGGCAACGACCTTACTGCGTCATTGATTTAATATTTATTTGCTTATCGGCCGATTAGAATTTCGTGATATTGGTGTTTGGTTACGAGTTAGTCAGGACCTAGGACAACCGTCGATCTTAGTAGTGAGCTTATCGCTGATTGATTGGAAAGTTTCCACTGACTTTTCACCAGGTTTCGTAAGTGTCAATTAATAGCTTCAAGGGCTTTGTTTACAGGTCGTTTTAAACAAAACGCAAAAAGTATTTAATTTAAAAAAAAATGGTAAAAAATCGTAGGACGAAATGGGTTGATATTATGAGAACACGACACTTAAAAATAAATAAAGATAAAGATAGATTTAAAAAATTCCTTATAAAATTGTTCTAAAATTATTCCAGTCTAACCGTTGTAACTTACGGGTTGTCTAGATCTAATATCAGCTATAACATATATTATTTATGTATTATATCTTAAATCTCATGTGTATTTATTTCTACTTTCAGAATTTTCCAGAACCCAAACGCAATTCCCAAGGAAACGTTGTCAGAAACTAAACAACCCCTAGAAAACAAAAACCAAACAAAAAATTAAAACCTCAAAAGTGATAAGAAAATTGTTAATTGTGTAGTAAAAGTGCCGAGAAGAGACCCGAAGAGATCTCGCCGCGAGTGAAGTGTCCCTTTGAGAGAGCTATGTCCGCATCCGCTGCCGGTTCGCGTAATAAACACTCCAAGTGCCGTGACGATGAGCAGCTCGACATAACCAAGGACGAGTTCAACCGGCTCAAGGAGGCCCTAGGCCGCGAGGACTTCCGCAAGCTGTTCTTGGACTACGTCGAGGAGATCCAGGACCCCGAGAACCGCAAGATCTACGAGGAGGAGATCACCCAGCTGGAGAAGGAGCGCGGCGTGGAGGTGAGGTTCATCCACCCGCAGCCGGGATTCGTGATCAAGACAGCCCTGGATGGCGAGCTCAAGTGCTTCATCAACATCGCCGGCTCGCCGGAGATCGAGAGGCCCACGAACGAGGTGGCCACGGATCCGTCTAATGGCAGCCGTGGACTGAGCTGGTCCATTCCCATGGCCCAGACTTCGTCGCGGAGTGACTGCGATGCGAAGAACAACCACTGCAAGGTGTTCGATGTGGTCTTCCATCCGGATGCCCTGCACCTGGCCAAGCGGAACAAGCAGTTCCGGCAGTGCCTCATCGACACGGCACTGGACGCCATCGAGCGCGAGTACAAGGTCGCCCTGGACCGCGCCAATCTAAAGTTCCCCAAGCTGGATTACAAGGGCACCGCCCGTCCCACTGTGATACGCAAGATGTCCGATAATCCCTCGGCCGAGGAGCAGGAGCCGCATCCCCTGGCGCACATGTTCCCCACAAAGCTACCCTCCGCCGATCAAGCGGAGCCCCGCGTTCTGCCCATGAAGACGAAGCCGACTCCTGTGCCGGAGTTCACGGTGCCGCGGTATTCGATCAAGCACAGCCACGACGTGGACTTGTCCGAGTACACGGACGAGCTGGACGCCAAGCTGCATGTGACCGTTCCTCGCTCGCTTGTCGTCGAGATCGAGCTGCCCCTGCTCCGCTCCACAGCCGAGTGCCAGCTGGATGTCACCGCGAAGTCCGTTTATCTGTTCAGCGAGCGGCAGGGCGCCAAGTATCGTCTGAAACTCGACCTGCCCTTCACCGTGGACGACAAGGCGGGCCGGGCTCGCTTCGACACGGATCTGCGTCGCTTGAGCATCACATTGCCCGTCGTCCGGAAGAGCGGCCAGGAACAGGCCCAGATGCACGACACCCTGCGCCACTTCAGCCGCGAGGACAGCGGCGTGGAGCTGCATTCCAACAGCGAGTCGCCTGTGGAGGAGGACCCCGATGGCGAACTCAGCGATTCCAAGGCGGATATCTCCGAGACTGGTAAGTGGATGAAAGTGCAATGCAATTGATTTAATTATACCCGTTAGTCGTAGAGTCAAAGGTAGAAGGAAGCGTTTTCGACCCTATAAAGTATATATATTCTTGATTTAGCCATGTCTATCTGTCCGTATGAACGCTGAGATCTCGGAAACTACAAAAGCTAGAAGGTTGAGATTTCCCACACATATTCTTGGGCTTCCTACGCAGCGCAAGTTTATTTCAGCTGTGCGCCACGCCCCATCAAACGCCCACAATCGCCCACTAACGATTTTAAAATGTTTAAAGATTTCCAAGAAGTATAAATGCAATTTGGTTGTGCATATTTATACCTATCGAAATGTAGAAGACATTTTTCAAATAGAACCATTCATTAAGAAGTTATGCGCAATCAAAATTGTATATATCCATCTCCCTCGCACTCCCTTTAGCTGAGTGACTATTAGATAGTCGGGACACCCACCATTGTTATATATTTTAATTTATTCAGTATTAGCTTTTATGTTAGCTGTTTAATTTGAAGTACCATTGATTTGATTTTTCCTATAAATTTCTTTAATCTATATTCCATTTGTGTTCTCCCCCAGCCACGCCCACTGCCACGCCTGTGCGCAACGCAAACAGCCCGTTCCTTAAGAGCTCCGTTCACTACCAACTGCCCAACAAGTTTGACTGCAACGTGCTGGACAATGTGATGGCCTTTGTGCTCCACGTGCCCAACGTACAGCCGGACTCCATTGAGCAGCTGAGAGAGCAGCGGAGCCTGCATCTGCAGTTTGCCACCATCGGCAGTGGCTACTATCCCACCCACTATGCTTTTTATGTCGAGCTGCCGGCGGAGGACGAAGATTCCGCCATCGAGAGCGTGGAGGTAGAGGCCTGGGACAACAATGTGGTGCTCAAGCTGTGCCTGAGCTCGCAGAGCGAGACTCCGGCCAGCTATCTGGCCGGACTGGAGGCCACGGATCTCAAGGAGTATCCAGTCCATGGGCAGTACAATGTTCGGAGCAAGGTGAGAGCTGATACAAAGAAGGAGATTTCACCGCTGGACGTTAAGTTCGAGCACAACCAGGAAGGTCAGGCCTTGAAGGTTACTATACGCCCGGGGACAAAGGAAGAAGCGGAGGAGGAGGAGCAAGAGGATGAAGAGCACCAGGATCACGAGCAGCAGCAACAGCAGCAGGCTCAGAACAAGAAGCCTGGCAAAAAGCAACGCAAGCGGAACAAGAAGGAGCGCTCCTTCTCCGAGTCGGCTTGCGAGGATATGCTCGTCCAAGATTCCTTGGCTGGAAATCCCGAACCCCAGCCAAAGACGACATTTAAGCTGCCCGCGCAGCGTAAGCAACGCAGCTACTCGGAGTGCAACGACAGCACCGGTGGCTCCCATCGCGGCATCCTCAAGCGATTCAGCCGATATGGACCAAGACCCTCGATATCGGACAGCTGCTCCTCAATCGACGACTGCTCATCGTATTCGTGCTCTGTGGATGCTTCGGGAACTTCGCTGTTCTCGCACTCGTTTGGAGGTATTCCCGAGGAAGATCGGTCTGATGCCGGGCTCTCGGAGAGCTGCAAGAAGACTGTTAGGTTTAATGATCACATCATGAAGCAAGTGTTCCGGTGAGTGCCAGCTAGAACCCCTGCAAATTGCCAGCAATCTAATAATTTACCCAATCCAATCCCTCAGACTCGACTCGAGCATCCTGGGTCAGCGGAAGAAGAACCAGAAGCGACGCGATCTCAAGCTGCGGGCTCAGCAGCGTCGCCTCAGCGAAGGTGATTCCGTTGATTACGAGGAGACCCGTGGCACTGCCCTCAAGGTGAGATCTAGATCTCTAGATTGGACTGCTTTCGTTAATTGAGCGAATATCCCGGCTGGTTAGGAGGCTGTTAGGTTGTTAGCTTGTTAATTGAATTAGTTGCCATCAGCGAAATCGGGCAGTTTGGCTTGATTTGCCTCACTCCAGACATAAATATTGATCAGCTCTTTGTTTAAGGTATTGTATTACACGTGTGCGAAAGTTAAATAGAACTGGAGTGGGGCCCTATTTATAGCTGGAATGCTGCGAAAATTAATTGAAGTATGTTAATTGATATGCAGCTGAATAGAAGTCGCACGGGAATGGAAAATTTGTGCATTTGTAGACAGCAACTGTTTGAAGAAGGCTTAAATATAGGGGGTTTTGTTTAGCGCTATTATATTACATTGGTGCGAAATGGAAATGGTTTTTGTTGAGGTAATTGATATGCAGCCGGCATAAACGGTTCAGCTCATGTGCAAATAAATTATTTATAACAAAATGTAAATGTAAAATGGCATGTGCTTGGAATCTTTATATTTAATAAGGAAAAGCATTTTTTATTTGTTGTAAAGAGGGTTGAAGGGATAAGCCATTAAAATAATAATAATGTAAATTCAAATAATAAATAGAAATGTATCTAATTCGACACCTTGAAAAAGCCCAAATTAAGCTCAAAATGTAAATCCACAATTATAAAATAAAAATGTATCTAATTCGACACCTCAGACGAGCTGAAGGCCTTAGCTGCTAGTGCTCTTAATCTTAGTTAGCTTATAGTCTTAACTTTAAGTTTGCTTTATATAAATAAATAAATAAATAATAATGTCTTCTTTTTTTCCAGCAACAAGGAAACCCATCAAGAAATGCCAACAAGCCCAAGGGCGAGTCCTTACTGCACGACAGCGGGCTGGATCTCACTGGAGCAGCAGGTGCCCACAGGAGCAACAACGATTCGGATGCCAAGAACGCCATGATGTTTGAAATGGATGATTAGGATGATGTTATTTAAACCATAAATATATTCATATTTTTTGAGTGTTTTAGAGGCATGTTTTCAACAATTTTAAATGCTACTTATATACATTAACTAATGCTACGTTTTTTTAAAATATTTATACTGTAATTTGTTTTGTATCCAAGCAAATTGCTCAATTGGAAATATATACGAAAATTGTATTTAGGCAACAAGAATCAGGGCTAAATCAGAAATCAAAATATTCATTACATCATGTATTAAATGTTATCTAATTCGGTTAATCATTGAAACTGTTGAACGAAAAATGAAATCCTAAGCTGAACTGAAAAAACTATTATTATAAAATAAAAATATGCATGTTCATTCATTATGCGAAACCCAGTTGATGTCTTAGAAGTTTGCAAACTATAAGTTTTAAGTAAACATTACAACATTCATTTATTGGCTGCATGCTCATGGCTCACAAAACAATCACAACACGATAAACCTAAACAATATCAATAGTTAACAATTCCTCTAGTATTACACACTTAACTGAATCACCCAAATGCATAAGTAGTGTATAAGCTATATGTTTAGAAACACTGGCTGAAGCAATGAATGTAATTTTAACTTTTGTAAGCGAGCTGAAAGTTAAAATATACAAATATGAAAGAGAAATTCTGTGTACTGGCTTTAGAAGTGGTCTGCCAACAGCTTGTGAAAGTGTTCGATTTGCTGGAGCTCACGCCGCTTTCCCTCCAGGACATAGAGTACTGGGCAGTCGAGAGAATCGCACTGGAGGCTACCCAGTCGTCCGCAGCAGGCCTGGCAGATCTGCCGTGTTAGCTGGTAGCCCCTCTCCAAACGCGCTGTCTTGTCTGCGAGCACAACTACACATTTGGAGGCGTTCTTCAGGCAATCTTGGCAGATGCCTGCCTTGGTTTGGCGACCACAGTCAATCACACAGCTGGTCGTGGAAAAATACTGGGAGATGGTGGACTTGGCGCCTCGGGCACCGGCCAACTCGTTGGCGGTTCCCACGGCTGGCGTCATGAGCAACTTCCTTGGCAGGCTGGCAAACCAGTCGTGGACATTTGCTCCGATGAGCAGCAGGCAGCGATTTAGCGGCGGAATAATCGCCTTGGTGATGTAGTAGATGGCGTTGATCTTGTGACCCTCGTTGGCCAGGATGTCGTGTGGGCTGCGTACCAGGCGGATGAGCTGCATGCCCGGCGGCCCGTTGACTATGATAAAGGGCACGCGCTCACCGCGACGGGGCACATGACGTGGATCCTTCTGCATCCATTTTCTGAAATGTAAATGTTAAAATGACTCGAATCGATTAATGGGCGGGGTTCGGAAAATAACACGGGAAACTTGTGTTATTAACATGTTAATTGTCAAAGTGTTAGGTTGAAAAAAAATTATTAACATGTGCGTAAAAAATTGTAGCTTACATATGTTAGAAACATAAATAACACACACAGTTTATTTGTGTTATTTACACGACGTATTTTTTACACGTGGTTTTAACACAATGAGTTTTTGACATTAAAACGTCAGAAATATATGCTTTGAAACGGTGAAAAATTACAATTAAGATATCCTGGTCTTGTATTGATTCTTCATTTTCCCTTCGATTCGTTTATGTCCATAAAATGTAATTTTCATTTGTGTTAGAAACACAGTGTGTAAAAAACCCGTTGTGTTAATAACACATTGTGTAAAAAACACAAGTGTGCTGTGTGTGCTAACAATTACACTATGCAGCATCAAAAATTAACCTCGATGAATGCTATATTTTTGGATTCGTTAAGAATTCCCAAGTTAAACTGCGTTTTCCTAAAAGTTCCCCGACGCACACTGGGCCAGCCGATCAGATTTTTGGCCAAAAATACGTTTTTCTTTTTTAAGAAAATGACCAAATTGAGTTTGGGATCCTTTTTATAATACATTAAACTAATTTATGCCAAAGTTTCAAAGAATTCGGGCAAGTAGTTTTCTTTTACCATATTTTCAAAGTGAAAAATTCATAAAATATTGATGGAAATGAAAAAAAATTTAGAAGTCAAAGATGCTGATGTTGCTGTTCGACTTCTTTCCGAAACTTGCAAAAGGGATTATTTTTAACAAGTAAAAAATATAATATAGCTCGTATGTCTTACTTGTTTGCTAAAATAAATGTAATTGTTAATTTTTACGCTTTTTTTCAGCCAATGAGTACTTTGCTTTTCGAGTGCCTTCGAGTGCCATCCCCAAATTAGTTCATTCCTTCAAAAAAAAATTCGTTGATCAATTTACTAAAAGCGTAGCCCACCGACTCGATGCGGTTTTGCCTTAGTTTTCGGTAATTTAAGTTTTAGTTGAAGGCTTAACTCGAAGTCGAGCTATTTTGAAGAGCTTAGCTAAGAGAGCCCAAGAGTATGCCATACTTTATTTCTTCAGGTTTTGGTGAACATTTTGCGCTCAAAAATTTGATTTTAGTGTGACTAACATCTAAAATCTACTTTTTACGTACACTAATCGATTATGGTATTTTCCAAACCTATATCTATCTATTTAATCAGGACTATGCGTATAAAAATGTAGCATACTTTTGTGATGACTTCAGAATATGTCAAATTAACATTAAACAAATCAAAAAACAATATTTTTAAACAATTTTTTTTACATAATTTGATTATATAAAACTTAAAAGGTAACAAGAACAAAAAAATAGAAATTTTTTTTAAATCGATTGTTTGATAAACGTAGATGTGGGAGCCTCCGAAAGTTGCACTTTTTAACGGTTCATAAATCTTAAATGACATAATATTTTTTAGTGATGTTAATTTTTTTTAGTTTGTTTTATCTCATACTTTATTGTTTTCGAAAATGGAAGAAGTGCGTCTTCTAGTTATTTTTTTAAAAATAAAAAACCGAAAAGTACGTAAAATTTTCCGACTTTGGTCTGGATTATCTATATCATATAAAATTCCAAGAAATTTTACTTTTAGTTCGTTGGAAAGTTCAATCTTTTAAGAAAAAAACGCAAAAAACTGCATCCTTCTAACTGTCCTAGGAAAGAAATTACATATTTTTGGCCAAAAAATTAACTTTCTGGCCCAGTGTGCGACGCAAGGATTCTTAGCAAAAGGACCTCAAAGTTCGAAAAATGCTGAAATTGACCAACTTTGCGGAGTTCTCAGAGGCAAATGGATGCATGGCTTGATTCGAAGTTAAAGTTTTTTAAAAGATACACGCTTTATATTTCAAACCCCATACATAAAATAATTTTAGGATTTTTTTTAAGGCAGAAATAAATTCCAAAAAACATAGTCAAAAAACTGAAAAACATACAGCTGCGGTCAAAATAGTAGAAGTGTTGCCGCCTTGTGTTTTTAAAAGTTTGATGTTGTAATTTTTTTTTATCCAATTAGTCTAATAGTGAAAATATAATCAATACAATATTACCAGGAAAATATCAATTACAACAACAAACTTTTAAATACACAGGGCGGCAACGCTACTACCATTTTGACCGCAGCTGTATACTTTTATGTTTTTTGACTATGTTTTCTAGAATTTGTTTCTGCCTTAAAAAAAATCTTAAAATTTTTTTAATAATATAGGGTTTAAAAGATAAAGGGTGTATCTTTTAAAAAACTTTAACATCGAATCAAACCATGCATCCATTTGCCTCTAAGAGCTCCGCAAAGTTGGCCAATTTCAGCATTTTTCGAACTTTGAGGTCCTTTTGCTAAGAATCCTTGCGTCGGGGAACTTTTTGGAAAACGCAGTTTAACTTGGGAATTCGTAACGAATCCAAAAATATAGCATCCATCGAGGTAAATTTAAAAAGCACTAAAAATGCTGCACAGTGTTATTTTTCAAGTTTTTACACTTTTGTTTTTGACACACTGTAAAATAAAATTTTACTTGTTTTTAACATGTGTGTTAAATTCCGAACCCTGTTTATGGGTGACTTGAACTTGCCGTGTGAGTGCCAGTGCTGGCACACAGGCCGTGGGTTTGTAGCCGTTAAGACCCCTGAATTCTTTGGCGAAAATCAGGTCCTGCAAATTGGCCCTGCCCGACAGCAGCTTCGTGAACTGCCGACACACGTACTCCTTTATCTTGCTGACGTCTTGCGTCTCGAACAAGAGTCGCAGAACCTTTTCCAGCATCTTGGCCACCGCAGGACAGCCATCGCGCCGCACCGTCTCAATTCCCTTGGCCTCGTAAACGGGCTGCGCCTGATCGGCAGTCTCGTACATGTAGCCCACGTAGCGCTTCTTCGTCTGCAGCAGGCAGGGCTGGTAGACCTTCTCCAGCTTCAGCTTCACTGGCTGCGGATTCATCTCGGTGACGGCCTGAGCAATCTCCTCCCCGATCCGAAAGGCTTCAGCTCGGTTTCTGCCCGGGACGAGAACGAACATAGAGTCCGTATCGCCGTAGACGACACGCACCTTCCACTCGTCATTGGCCTCCACCAGCTTAATGGCCCGTTCCAGAGTTTCCCTGCCCTTGGACACAACCGAGTCACCCACTTCCACCGCCGGCATCCGGCCACTAAAGTTGGCCGCAGTGTAGCCGTAGGTGACGTTGGCCATCAGCTTGAGGCCCAACTGTCTGGAGTGAAGAATCCGTTGGAGGGCGGAGCTATCCTTGTGCAGCTTCATCGACTGCTTGACCATTTGGCGCGTATCCAGGATCTCGGTAAGCATGCGCGGCAGGATGCCCTCGCGCACCTCACGCTTCACAAAGACCACGCCGCAGGGCGAAACTGTGACCAGGTCGTGCTCCAGCAGCTTCTGCAGCATCTGGCGGGAGACGCGCAGCTGCGAGGCTCCGAACTCAAAGGTCGAACTACCTCCCAGGTGCTCCACTCTGCCCAGGCATGTGGAGAAGCAGTAGTTGTAGGCAATGATCATGCTGGGGTACAAGCTCTGAAAGTCGAGCACGATCAGGGGATCGGCATAGAAGCGCGACTGCGGCTCCATGATGAGCGCCAGGTACTCGGGCGCCCGCATATGAGCCCGAGCCTGGACGCTGGGCGAGAGGGGCACCAGGTTCTTTGGCTTGGCGATTCTGAACAGACGAAAGGATCAGAAAACAAGAGAAAACGCTATAGTCGGGTTGGTGTCCCGACTATCAAATACCCGTCACTCGGCTAAAGGGAGTGCGAGGGAGATGGATATATAAAAAATTTAGATTGCGCATAACTTTTTAATGAATGGTACAATTTGAAAAATGTCTTCTACATTTCGATGGGAATAAATATACACAACAAAATTGCATTTATACTTTTCGGAAATCTTTAAAGGTGTGGGCCCCAACACATTTTAAAGTCGGTAGTGGGCGATTGAGGGCGTTAGAGGGGGCGTGGCGATTGGCTGAAATAAATTTGCGCTGCGTTGGAAACCCATGAATATCTCAGCGTTCATACGGACAGACAGACGGACATGGCTATATCGACTCGACTAGTGATCACGAATACAACGAGTAACGGGTATTACAATACTATACGGTTTCACAAAAGGGGCTCACTTACCTCAGCATCATGCTCTCCACGCGAAACTGGGAGCCGCGCGACAACACTTCGTAGAACTGGATGCCAATGAGCTTGGCCATTTCGCTGGTCCGGCCCAGCAAGTCCAATTGATCCAGCAGGGCTAAGGTGCCGCGGACCCGCTCTAAGTAATACTCCATTACTATCCAGCGTGTGCAGGGCGAGGCAAACCATTCGCTGAGCGACTTGGCAGAGTGCCAAGGACATCTCTTATGCAGGATGTGGTACATCACGTTCTCGAAGGTGTACGACGTCAAGGCGATCTCAGAGCGCATGAGACGCCACACGTCGAGCAGAATTCGGCCGCACAGCTTCATTTCCACATCCAGGTCGGTGAACTGCTCCCGATCCTCGTCCACAAAGTCCCGCACTTTCTGCGTTGGCACTCGGGACAGCAGGGGAGCGATGTTAAAGCACAGGTGTTTAGCCCGATCGATAACGAAGCCCCAGGAGGACATCTCGATCTCATAGCCGGCATAAATGTCCGCATCCCAACGTCCACACAAGGCTAGCAATGCCTCAAACGCCTCCGCCTCACTCGCCACCACTTTCACTTCAATATCCCGATCTAGACCATGAATAAAGCCTTCACTTAGCAAATCCTGCGTGTTATTGACCATAATATAGCCGCAGGCTTTGCTAGGAAGATTTTCATCCGGCAAACTGTGCTCGATGGCGTAAAACAGACAGCGAATCTCGTCGTGCATCGGATCTGGCTGAAGGTCACCGCGTGTGGACACAAATACCTCTAAAGTTATAATGGTCAGGTGGTTGCAATCGATGTCCGCCTTGGCCTGCTGCAGGTTCTCCAAATTAACCTTAAACCCGAACGTATTGTCCAATGTGGCGTGACTGAGTCCGAAGCTGAGATCGTGCTGGTTCTGCTGGCTACTGGCTTCTAGTTGACGTAGAAAAGAACTCCGATCGAGCACGGCTTGGGCAGCGCTACTGGAGACGCTCTGTTCGCTGGATTGCGAGCTGGCTTGTTCCTCACCCTCGACATCCTTAAAGTTCAACTTGGTTCCCCGCTTAAGGAGGTTCCTTGCCGACTCTTTAGCTTTGCTACTAATTGGGGTTGCCTTGGCCTGTGACAAGGGTGTGAGGCTTAGGCTGCACTCCAAATCCTCACCGCCATCTTCATCGCCACTCGCACCGCCGCCTTCCTCAGCCTGCAGCATCATGGTGATCTTCTGGCGTTTGATCTTGATGGGGCTGTCTATGTCATCGCCAGATTTCATAGGTTCCTTGCGCTGGCGGAGCAGTTCCTTGGCCTTTAGCCAGATCTTGGCATCTTGCCAGGTAGGTGCAAGCTGTGCTGGTTCGATTGCTACCCTTTGCTTGCTGCTAAAGTACTCCCGCATGCCTTGTTCACCCCTATGTCGCTGCAACATGGCTGGGCCACCGATGGCCACCAGTCGCTGACGCCGCCAGGATGCCAACCCACGATCGTTGCCCAAGACGCTCTGGAAGGGCTCACAGTCATTGAGCTTGTTCCCCGGTATGTGAAGCACCAGGAAGCCCACCTCCGTGACCTTGCTCACATCTGAGGGATTGCTATAGAAAGGCTTCTGGAACTCGTATTCGGGTATGTCCATCTTGCGGCAACCGCGGACCACTTCATCGTAGGATGGAGGAAGTTCCAACGGAGTAATCACAAAGGAGTTGGGATTGGTACTGGCAGGAACAGGCTGAGGAGAATCCGGGGTGGTCAGGGGACTATCTAGCAGGTCACTAAAAACTGACGGACTGTTCACAATCAGCGAGTTATCGTAGAAACTTCTCATTAGCTCTGGTGTGCGGCTTTCATTGCTTTTGGGACTCAACTGGGGAGTGGTCTGAACCTCAGCTGGTGCTTTGCTAGAACTGGGAGTTAGCTGCTTAGTTAGTAACTCCGATCGAAAGCTTCTTCGCAAGCGCCTCAAGTTGGGTGTTTTACGCAGTTTGGTCACCATATTATCACTTTCGGTGTCTGAAACAATGGCCTCATCTTCGCTTGCAGCAAAATGGTTTCTTTCACTAGGACTTGCTGGGTTTCCCGGAGATATAGCAGCTGGTTCTTTCGGGATTAATTCATTTTGAAGATTTTCAGCATTCTTTTCTGGAGTTTCTGGCTTTGAAACGGAACACTCCGTTGAACTGGAATTATTAATATAATTTTCATTAATTTTAGATCCTGTTTTAGGATCTTTAGTTTTTGCCTTGGTAATCTTCTGCTCTTGTGTGGTTTCAACAGTTTTATTCGTATTTGTTTCTATACTTTTTACGGGACTTTCTGATGCAGGGTTACTTTCAAGTCTGGGTTTCTTCAGAATTTTACTCCGACTAGAAGTGCTGGCTCGGGGCTTTGCTATTTCTGTTTCACTAAATAACTCCTCGGGATTTTTAGAATTTTCCTGATGACGGGCACTTCGCGGTTTCAAGTTATCCAAAACACTGCTCTCTGACTTGCGTGGTTTTTCCTTGCTTGATTTTGCTTCTTTACATTCATCCATGCCTTGCGTATCCTTTTCTTGATGTCGAGTACTCCTTCGTGGCTTCTTTATCTCTTTCTCTAGCGGTATTTCCTCGCCATCTGCTGTTTCGAACATGTCGGAAAAGCTGGGATTCCTATCCCGCGGAGTCAGTGAGCAAATAACGTGTGTTTTGTCCAAATTGCGAGTTGATCGCCTGGTACTCCGTAGAGGAGTACAACTATCGAGAAAAAAGTCTATTAACTTTCAAGTACAATATAAGAGTGTCAGTAGTCTTACTCGTTTTTCAATTGAACGAAACTGTTTGATTCCTCAACACTCTTACGTCGTAATTCCGTCATAGCCAGTTTCTTTCGAAGCGAGATTTCTGGCCTACAAGCAAAATTCAGATAAAAAATCATAAAATACGATTTAATCATGATCCCTTAAATTACCGAGGTATTCCCGGAGTTCCTGTTTCTCGATCAAGCTGCAAACTGAGACGGGGATTTAGAGCTCTTCGTGTGCTTTCTTCATTGTTCTCTGGAATCGATTAAAATTATATAAAGTCCATCAGTTTTCCTTTTTTCTACCCACTATTTGATGAACCGCTTCCAATAGTCAACGCCAGTGGGGCATATTTCTTGGCCGCACTGGTTTTTGGAGTGCGGGGCGATTTTGTGAGGTTTGTCTGGCTTTTTGGAGTGGTGGGTGCCCTCGGAGGACTCGCCTTTGGCTTGGAGCTGGACACTTTTTTCGGAGTCAGCGGTAAGCCATCATCAGCGCCATCGACTTGCGGCAGTTTAGTTAATGCTTCCAATTTTTCGTATTTGGCGGGATCCGGCTGGCTTTGAGTTAGCTTAAGTAACAGCTCATCGACATCGTCAAGGACGGTGGAGTAGTCGTGGCGGGTTTCCTGGTCCGCATCCTCGTCGGAGTCACAATCCGCGTCGAAAAGAGCATGCGAGCCTACAGCAGCGGCTGCTGTCTCCTTGTCTAATAGCTCAGGCGTCAGATCATCTGAAAGAACACATGTTTATAATTTAATCTCAAAAACTTATGTTATTCAGAAGCAGGGTTTGGAATTTAACACACATGTTAAAAACAGGTAAAATTATATTTTACAGTGTGAACAAAGTTTTTGACATGTGTCAAAAACAAAAGTGTTAAAATGTGAAACATAATTGTTAACACACACAGCTCACTTGAGTTTTTACACAATGTGTTATTAGCACGACGTGTTTTTTACGCACTGTGTTTCTAACACAAATGAAAATTACATTTTATGGACATTAACGAATCGAAGGGAAAATAAGGAATCAATACAAGACCAGGATATCTTAATTGTTATTTTTAACCATTTCAAAGCATTTATTTCTGACTTTTTAATGTCAAAAACTCATTGTGTTAAAAATATGTTTCTAACATATGTAAGCTAAAATTTTTTACACAAATGTCAATAACTTTTTTTGAACTTAACAATTTGACATTTAACATGTTAAAAACACAAGTTTTTTACAGAGTGTGTTATTTTCCGAACCCCGTTCAGAAGCACTTACAGTTTTTGTGCTGCGACAAAGGAGCCAATGAGCTGTCCAGGTCCACATGAGATTCATTATCATTCTGCTCCTCCAGCTCCTGCAAAGCGTCCAAAAGTTCCAAGTCCTCCTCCCTCACTGCAGGAAAGGAAAAATAGTTACATGTGCAAAAATAAAGTTTTGTCTTTGGCAACCGTTTACCCACAGGTGGCATCGTGAGGCATCGCTCCATGTGGCTGGGTGAGACTCAGGATAAGCTCCTCGTCCACCAGTGTGTCGTCCATGTAATCAGACTCATTTTTTGGGGTTGATAGGCTGACATTGTTGCCATTACCGCAGGTTACATGGTTTTGTATGAAGGAAGCGTTAACCAGAAGCTGCTGCTGATCCTGTGAGCATTCCTCAGGATAAACGGCGTTGGCCAGAAGTTTTTGCAAGTTAAATGTGCGCCTCTGCTCCCTGCTGCCTGGAAGAGTGGTCTGCATGGTGGCATTGGCCAGGGTTGTCTGATCCGACAGCGTCTGCTCGGAGATTGTGGACTGCTCCAGTGTCATGAGCTTGCTTTCCAGAGCGGTGCGGTAGAAAACATCGCTCTCGGCGACTTCTACTTGGTGGCGCTCTTGCGTTGGCGGCAATTGCAAAACCGGCACCTAGGATTGAAACAAAGCTGTATGATTTATGAAAACAAACAAGGAGAGAGGGAGTACCGCTTGGACTTTCTCCTCATCGCCAGCGGCAGTGTGTTTTTCGACTAGTTTCTGGCGGCGCAGGTTCTCATCGTTCCAGATCGCCTCGATGCCCGGATTCGTGTGACTGCCTTTGCTCTTGGCCACCAGCTGGAAGCGATTCAATATGAAATTGGAGCTGACATCCACCTCCAAGGCACTGCAGGCCACCTTCTTCACGCTTATGGTGTCGAGCAGCTGGGCGGGCTTGACATTTGCATAGGGTATCACTAAATAATTTATTAAGTTAGATTGGAATTTTAAGGAGGATGTGCCAGCCAACTTGCCTTCATCCTCGTGGCTGCGCCGGAACTTGAGCACCTCCAGCGGCACATGCACGTAGCTCATCCCGTACAGATTGTAATCGATCATGAACTGCAGGATGTATGGCACATGCGACTCGTGCGGGCTGAAATTCTTGCTCAGAATGGCGCCGCTCTGGAGGAGATTGGCGGCGCGGCGTACGAAGCGGGGATTGAACATGTAGATCTTCAGGAACTGGTGCTCCACGCGATGGTAGCCATAGAAGGGTCTGCAAGGAAGACTTTGCTGGAGATTCACTTCGAGCAGGCGAACAGTGGAGAACTCACATGCCCTTGACCAGTTGGACTTTGAACACATGCTGGGCACTGGAGCTGCCCTGGCCCAGGGATATATTGATGGCCTTGTCCAGGTGCATCGCTATCTGCAGAATCCCGCGCTCCAGGGACTCAAAGTCCTTCTTGTCGTACGGAATGTAGAAGTAGGGGAACACGCCGTGCACATGCATGCAGGTCTTCTGGCCACTGGAGTTGCCACCGAAAACCCTAATCACTGGAACCTGTTTTGGTATGGATCGGAGTCAGATTTATCCCAGTTTACCAACGATGGTGAAATCAAATGGTGCTCACCCGCTTGATCTCCTTGCCGCGCAGCTCGGAGTAGCAGGGATCCAAGCCGAACTGCGGCTTCTCCATGTAGAAGTCCGCGATGACCAGGCGCACCGAGTAGACACCATCGATTCCCTCCGATGCAGCTGCCATTCCGCAGGCACATTTAAAAATTAAACTATTTCTTCGCGGAAACCGGCGTAAACAAACTAAACAGAGTGACCATACAGGTTACGCAGAACATCGATGACGAAAGCGATAAATCGATTAATAATTATCAAATTCAAACGACAAGTAATTGATTAGAATATTAAAATGAAATTATTTTTTTAGATTTTAAAAATAACACGTGTTGATATGAAATACAGAAAATCATTGTGAGTAGAGCCCAAAAAATTAAAATTTAAATAATTTGTACACAAAAATGGTAAAAAAAAAATTCACTTAATTACGTTTAGAAGAAACAAACAAATATGAAATAAATTCATATTGCAGTTGAAGTTTTCAAATGCTTTTGTATTTTCAAAGTAGTGTTAATGACTAATGAATTAAAAAGGTTCATTATTTTTTTGGAGGTACCATATCATTAGTTAGTTTTTTCCTATATTTATTGTAAATACTATTCAGAATATATATATCCTAAATCATGCCTATAATTATTATTTATAAAAAAGAAAGTCCTCAAACAAACTTTATTTTCACAACAAATTACCAAATTACTTTTAATTACTTTCCTACAATATCTTCCAAAAGACTTTAGTTATATTTGTTTTTTTTTCAAAATCCGATTTTAATCGATGTTTTTCAGACGAAATATAATTATTCTAGGAGTGTGACCTTCGCAGCGCTTTGGCAAAATACTTATACACCCCACCCCCACCACACACTCATACTTTGCGAAAAAAGCTCCAGAAAAAGTCGCAGTCGTAATAAAAACGTAACGAAACAACGTGAAGTGCAAAAACGTAACGAAAGAACGTGAACGAAATTTCCTCCGGCAAACACTCGTAATACCCGAGCTGAGCTGAACGAGAGGAAAAGTGAAAAGAAGGCAGATTTGATTTAACCATGTCGAAGATCGGAATTAACGGATTTGGCCGCATCGGCCGTCTGGTGCTGCGTGCCGCCATCGATAAGGGCGCCAATGTGGTGGCCGTCAACGATCCCTTCATCGATGTCAACTACATGGTCTATCTGTTCAAATTCGACTCGACTCACGGTCGTTTCAAGGGCACCGTGGTCGCCGAGGGCGGTTTCTTGGTGGTGAACGGCCAGAAGATTACCGTCTTCAGCGAACGCGACCCGGCCAACATCAACTGGGCCAGCGCCGGTGCTGAGTATGTGGTCGAGTCGACCGGAGTCTTCACCACCATCGACAAGGCGTCCACCCACTTGAAGGGCGGCGCCAAGAAGGTTATCATTTCGGCCCCCTCCGCCGATGCGCCCATGTTCGTGTGCGGCGTCAACCTGGACGCCTACAGCCCCGACATGAAGGTGGTCTCCAACGCCTCGTGCACCACCAACTGCCTGGCCCCCCTGGCCAAGGTCATCAATGACAACTTCGAGATCGTCGAGGGTCTGATGACCACGGTGCATGCCACCACTGCCACCCAGAAGACCGTCGACGGTCCCTCCGGCAAGCTGTGGCGCGACGGACGTGGCGCCGCCCAGAACATCATCCCGGCTGCCACCGGTGCCGCCAAGGCTGTGGGCAAGGTCATCCCGGCCCTCAACGGCAAGCTGACCGGCATGGCCTTCCGCGTGCCCACGCCCAATGTCTCCGTGGTGGATCTCACCGTCCGCCTGGGCAAGGGAGCCAGCTACGACGAGATCAAGGCCAAGGTCGAGGAGGCCTCCAAGGGTCCGCTGAAGGGAATCCTGGGCTACACCGACGAGGAGGTCGTTTCCACCGACTTCCTCAGCGACACCCACTCGTCGGTGTTCGACGCCAAGGCTGGCATTTCGCTGAACGACAAGTTCGTCAAGCTCATCTCGTGGTACGACAACGAGTTCGGCTACTCCAACCGCGTCATCGACCTGATCAAGTATATGCAGACCAAGGATTAAGTACAAACCACCCGGGGCATACTCAAGTTGGTCGGGCATCACTGTTGTATAACCCCTAATGGCGCCCCGGTAGTTCAGCCCTATGCACAATTAAATATGCTTTTTCGGTTGGCTCCCAAAAGTTACCACTCTAATACAAATATCCATAGCTACGCAAATATATTTATTGTTGTTGAATAAAGTATCGCTCTGTTACTGTATTTAAAAGCCAGCCATTTAAATAATAAATTCTTGTGCATAGATGAAATTGGCTTGTGTAAGCTCAAGGTCGTGGGAAGGTTGCATCAGGGCATCGCCGTGAGGACTTGCAAAGATACATTTACATAAATGAGTATGTATTTGTATGTATTTGTCGTTTGGGAGCCACAGCCACCCCAAAACTCAACCGGGTGATATAAGTATAGGCGTCGAAATTTCTATTTATGTTGCGAACTCTGGGAATCTGAAATTTCGAGATTATGCAAACAAATGTATGTGTATTTTCTTATCGCTGCACTTTGGAACCCGTGCGGATGCTGTTTGTTTTGTCTTCGATTTGCCGGCTAAAAAAACAATTTCAAGTCCAGTTGTACTTAAAATTTATTGCCGAAAACCTCAATATATATAAATATGCATATATATATATATAAACAATATTTTTTGGGGTGGGTTTGTTGTGATTTATCGACTTGCATTTAATAGATAAAGTTGTTTGTTATTGTACTCAAGGTCACGGAAGGTCATATGCTTTGGTTTGGTACACAATTTGCTTGGTACACAATTTTTCGACAACAAAAAATATATTCGATTAGTATCAGCCAGGGCTGCGATGAGCGCGATATTTGAAAAGATAAAGGCCGTTTTCTCAACCGCATATTAAACTAAAAGTAGGTTTTAAACTGAAAAAGCCCATTAAATGTACTAAAGCGTAGTTTTATTTGAAGATTAGTTTAAATTAAAGATTAAATCAACATAATAAAACTCGCTTTATGTATTTGCTGCAAAAATACACATAGTACGAAATATAATTATAGAATTTTTATCAACGACTTACTTTTCTCAGAAAGGGTCAATAAAATGTAATCTTATCACGGAAAAGATAAGTATCATTGGCGAAGGCGTTATAAGTTCAAATAACAAATTTGTAATTATACAGGATTAATAATAATATATAATAACAGGAAAATGGGAATAAATTGGTAGAGGTACATCCTTGCGCATCCTTTTAAAAGCTTTCTGTACCGCATACAGCGCAATACCAAGGTAAACTGAAAGTGGTCATAGGACAGATATTATGTGTTTAAATATGAACAAAAACCAATTGTCCGTGGCCAAAAGCACAATGCCTGTGTAACCCATCAAATAAAGGAACATAGAGTTGGTTATCATCCAGGGCACGAAATACTTGTACTTTTCCTAGATTAAGGCAAAAGGATTGTAGATCCGTTTGTAGAAGAGTCGATCAAAATACAAATTGTGCTTACTGCTGTGGCACCAAGGATGAGAACTATACTACTCAAAATCTGCAAGGCCGCAATGTGAACTCCGAAGTTGTAGGATATAACTAAGGGAGAACTTACATCAGAGAAGACGATTTTGAAGCACTAACCTTATTTTATTACACCATGACTCGTTGAAAATTGTTAAATAGATGATAGCAAAGCAGATCGATGTTGCCCCAGAGCAAATAATGCTATTTTTTGAGTCAAATTTCCACATTTTTCTTTTTGCGTCCGTATCGTTCGGCGTCATTTTTGCAAATATACACGAAATTAGTCTTTATCAATTAGTCTTTGTTTAATAACTTATCTTATCGGTTTGTGTTTCCCTTGTCTATCCCTGTGGACAGTCGTTTCTTTTCGCGGAGCGACCCGAAACAGAACATTTTAGGATGTATTTACTCGAATATATATTCGTTTTTTATTACCCTGTTAACATGTGTTTTTAACAAGAGAGAACGCTTTAGTCGGGTTCCCCGACTATCAGATACCCGTTACTCAGCAAAAGGGAGTGCGAAGGAAATGAAAACTTTGATCCGCCGTAACTTTTTAACGAATGGTCCGATTTAAAAAACTGCATTTTTACTTTTCCGAAATATTGAAATTTTTAAAATCGTTTATAACCGATTGTGGGCGTTAGAGGGGGCGTGGCACCCTTTTCCTAGAATCTGCATGAAAAATGTCAATCTTCTAGCTTTTATAGTTTCCGAGAACTCAGCGTTCATACGGACAGACAATTAGTTAACTCTTCTGTTGTGGGGCTGCCACCTAGTCTCAAATTAGTGCGCCTTTTTTTGGAGTTTTAAATGACGGACGAGAAAACGAAAACCGATTTGCCAGCTGGATAAATTTATCCTTCCATTAGCTAAATTTTACTTTGCAGGACGGACGAGAAAACGGCCTTTAGTATGGCCTAGGCCAGAAATATATATAGCAGCCAGTCAATCTTCAACATTTTGTCGACTCTGCGGGTATAATGATAATAAAATTCTTTTAAACATTTCTGCAGTAGAGGCACAATAAAGTGAAATATGTACAGCACTTTTACAGTTCATTGTATCATGCGATTGCCTTAAAAAAATAAAAAGAAATATTAGGCCCCGCTAAAATTAGGCTCTAAAAAATGTTTTTCGAGAAGTCAAAGTATGCCTTACTAAACGATTTTCAAAACGTTTTCAAGGTTTTTCCCCACTTTAAATTTAACATGCGGACACAGCCCTGTCTTTAATTATTTAACTGAGCCCTTAAATATTTAAGAAATATTGTTTAGACAACTGCCGCGAGAACATGTGTACATAGATAACTGAAATATCTAACGACTAAATGCAAGATCCGATGATTTCAGATTAGCAACAAATACTGATTAAAAAGCTTTTATTTTCGTCTTATCTTATCAGAAATTTGTATTTTGCAACTATTCTTTTTTTCGATTACAATATTATTTTGACAGCTATTTTCTTAAATATGATTAATGAACCCCTTTTTGTCGGACAAATTGGAATATGCTGGCGGCTCTTCCTTACGCATCCTGTCGAAGGCCTTTTGCACCGAGTACAAAGCACAGCCGAGGTAAACTGAAAAGTTGATTTATAGGTTGAACAAGAGAATTACCCTTTTTTTTCTAAGGTCATTACCTGCAATCGGCACAACCATTGCCGGGACGAAAATCCACTCCCCATTTGTGGTTAACAGTATAATACCCAAGTAAACCATCAGATAGATGAAGAATCCTGTGGTTATCATCCACGGCACAAAGAATTTGTACTTTTCCTGTGTTCCATTAAAAAATAATTCGATTTTAGAGTGCCACACATTAAGTCAAAGCATTTAACCCACCTTAATAACCCCTATTATAAGGCCCAAACTGCCCAATATTTGCAGAGAGGAAATGTGTATTCCCAAGTCGTAAAGTCCATCTAAAACAAATTAACGATATTTATTATTATTCTTTTTCGAGTTCTGGCAAATGTAATACTCGTACGTCTCCAGAAATAGTCGTCCATTAGGGCTAAATATGTTATAGCAAAGGCTATGGACAAAATGCCGGAGCAGATGATTCCTCCTTTGGTGTCCAACTTCAACATTTTGTCGACTCTGCGGAGAACCTTGCAGTTTGAGGATTATTTCACAACTGATTGGGAGTATACTCATCGCATGGGCGCAAGCTTTTGCTGCGGGCGTTATCTTATCTGTTTATCGCTCTCCCATCGCGAAATTAAAAAAAACCTTTGTTCGTTTGTGTATAATTATAATTTTATTGAAGGATTTGCTTTTTATTGCTTCGACTGGCCAGCAAACTGAGCCTTACCATGCGGGCTTATCGATGGGGCCCTTAGTTTGTTGGCTGTACCATTTTACAATGAGTTACGATCTCGAGTCGATTATTTTGAAAAATGCAATGAAATTGATTAGCTAACAAATTGAGTGGCGATTGTGCAAAAATTTGTTAATTGTAAAATTTGTAACATGCATTCTTATTGTTTGGTTTTCTTGCATCTTTAACTAGTATAATTAAGTATAAAAAAAATGTTACTGCAATAGCGCTTCGCATCGCATGGCATTGCTTCATATGTATTGATGTATAATTATTCGATTTTCAGTTAACTCGCTTGATAATCCGTAAAATGTAGCATATTTTAGATAATTTTCGAGGCGTAATTCTGCGTGAGAATCAGTTAATTTGAGTTAAGTGGCGTTAGATTGGTTAAGGTAGAGTTAAGAAACTTGGCAAACTTCGCCCTTCCTCTGGTGTTCTCAAGTTACTCAAGATATATAAAAATACGTAGATTATAACATTCGATTAGTACAAGTAGGTATGTATAAATATATAAAAAGTACACAACGTGTAAATTAGACTAAGTCAATAGAGGAGAGCTCCTTCGGGCAGGTTGCTTAGCCGCCCCTCGTGCTTCTTGTGTCCTTTTTCATCATTTTTCGATTTGTTGCTTTTCGTTTTGTTTTGTTTTTGGCAAAATCACAGGAGAATTAGAAATAATTAACGTAAGCTATGACACATATGTGATAGAGTGAAAGTGGAAAACTCTCAGTTACCGATTCGAAAGAGCATTGATTCAACTTGGTTTGCTTTATTTGCCTTCACTTGCATGGAGTTGGTTCCCGTTTTAGTTTAGTTTTGCTTTTGGGGTTTTTGAATTATTTAAATGTATATTTGTATAATAAATTATGACTATATATGCATGTATATATAAGTATATAGATGTATATATTTAAGAAGTAAGTAGGAGGCGCATTATTCCACTTTTCAACTTAGGATAACAACATTGTTTTTTTGCGATTTGCGATTTGCTCCCCAAGCGTTCGATGGCTTTACTGACTGACTGACTGAACTGGCTTGCTAACGGCTTATAACAATATTCAACTAGAGAATCGCTGATCAAAAATAATAACCATAATAATAGTGGTGATGGTGACAATCGAAGGATGCCGACGCATGTACAAAAGAATAAATAAAATCGCGTATAAAAAGGACCTGCGGTAAACCTATTTTAGACGTCGACAACCATCTTCTTGTGAATGTCCGTGTTGCCGACCACCGAGCAGAACTCATCGAACGAGATCTTTCCGTCCTCGTCCTTATCCGCGAAACCGATCGTCTTGTCCACAATTTGCTGCAATTGCGTTTCCTTCAGATTGTTGCCCACCATCATTTTTAACACCTGTGAAATTAAGTTGTTTATAGGGTACTTTTAATGTGACAAATCGTTGGTCTTGCCTGAAACAGTTCGCCGTTAGAAATGTAGCCATCATTGTCCATGTCGTAGATGCGGAAGGCGAAGCGCAGCTTCGACAGCTTGTCGCCCTTGACACTGAACTGTGAGACGCCCTGGATGAACTCCTTGAAGTCCACCTCGCCGTTGCCGTCCGCGTCGAAAATGTCGATCACGCGCTGCACCAGGGGATTCTGTTGCAGTTCCGGCAGTGACATGAACTCGTCCACGCTCAACGCTCCCGAGTTGTCCAGGTCCAGTTTCCGGAAACGTTTGCCCAACCGCCGGATCTCATCGGCGTCGACTAGTGGGGAAGGCAGGAATAGAAACGATAAACAATTCAAATTATGTTGATGTGCAGTGCCACAAGCACTCAGAAAAGGAATCCTTGAAATATGAATACAGGAGAGATTGCCTAACTCGAAGTATGTCTGATTTCTTTAAGTTTTGTTAAAACTCTAAGGAAACAGTGCTTTCATTATATTACATTATTAATTATATTTTTAAATCTTTTATTTTGATTGACGTGGACTCTGTGTATACGATTAATATCAGACTTGCTTTTCTGAAAATTAATTTTTCTTATGGTTTATACCCATATTTCTATGTGTAAATTAAAGAAACTACGTGATTTTTACATTTTTAATAAATTAAAGGTACAACAATAATTTTCTCAACATCTACAATTTAATATTTCTACGTAAATATAATTAAATAATGGTTAATGATTATAATAAATGTTATTAATTATTTTCAAATTCAAAATAACATGTATTGGTTACAATTTAGTTACTTAAATGCAGTTGTTTGGATAGACTTTAGCAAATGGCAAAAAGTTTTACGAAAAGGGTACAAAATCAGAATGCTAGATTCTAGTTAAGATTGTAGGACTGTAATTTATTTTTAGCGGCGTGTTGTCTGTCGATCATCAGAGATGAAACAAAGTGTGACAGAGACACATTCTAGAATGCCAATTTCGAAATAAGAAGTGAAGGTGTACAATCTTTTAATGATGCGGAATAAAGAGTTGGGAATTATAAATGGAATTTCGACGCCACGTTCACGTTTCGTTTGCATTTCACTTTTGTTGGCCATTCGCGTATTTACATACATATGTACATACATGCATACCGTATATAAATGTACGCTTGTATATGCCGATGTTTGCATATTCATAAACAGCTGCCATTCCGTTCAAATGACATTGACTGAAAAATTTCGTACTTACAATTGGAACACATTTCCATGGGCAGTGATGTTTCATTTCCCTGCAAGGCAAAAACGTATATATTAAATGGGAAATTCTTAAATTTATTGCAGCAGCAGGTGGAAGGGAAAGGGGGGAGGAGAGAGAGAGGAGTGAAAAATGGAAATTGACTTTATAACGGCACAAACTCTCACTCCCTTTTCCGTGCTCTCTCGTTCTCCCCCTGCTCTTCCTCCCACCCCCTTTTGCACTTGTTCTTCGCGTATTTTGGTGGCATTTTATTACCATTTTGGTTTCGCCTTTTGTGGTTCTCCTTGGATGCTATCTATAGAGTACAATTAAAGTTGCTTTTTTCCGTCGCTCTTTCTCACGTTTTCCTCTAGTTGCGTTTAGAATCCAATGACAATGGCTATCCTGCACATGCTACTGGGGTTTTCGGGGCGCTGAATTACGGTTTTGTTGTGGAAATCTTCGGTTTTCTATTTTCTATTGTGCATGAGTTTTTCCACAGCAGCTTTAAGTGTGACCGTTGGTCGAGCGTCAAAAAACAACAGGGCCGCAGGGAAATATACCAAAAAGCTTAGCGTTGGCAACGCGTTCAGAGGGCTGCCAACTTTTCTAAAATGAATATGTTCTGTAGATAGGCGCACTTTTTTAAATAGCGGGGAAAGGTAATTTATTTAAGTTTATATTCATTAAACAACTTATGTTTTAGAGAAGCCTATGGCCTTAAATGTAGCATATTTTTGTTGGACCTTTCATTATTTTTATAATATAATCTCATATAAAAAAATATTTTTAATTTAAATAATGTTCTTATTCAATTTATTATTTACCCAAAGAATAGGTTTACCCCAGGGACCGTCATTATTAATAATCCATATTTTTGAGTTTCAGATTATAAATCAAAAATAATTTTTGTTTTTCATTGAAATACAACATTATTACAGTTGGCTGTAATTTTATTCGCTCAAAACAAGACTCGGTTTCTTATGTACAATCTGCAGTTCTTATCTGTTAGATATGCTTCTTTGTCATCCTTTACAAAAGAGACTCCCTGGGACTAATAAATCTGTGTTGGTTCACTGTATGTTGATCTTGTATCTTGATCTTTCTAAGCAGAGGCTTATATTTTGTGTTACAATATAACGCAATGTTTGGTATTATGAGAACAATTTAATTTTCATATTTTAAAAATTCCTAATCTAGTCAAATATGATTAAAATAAGATACAGAATCATCTTCTTGTAATGGAAGGTTGTATAGTTAAACTAAACATAAGTATGCAACCCCCAGATAACGGTTTCTGGCTACGCCTCTGCATTTAGTTGGCTTCCCTCAGCAACATCAAACAACCACAGATAGCATTTACTGCCCATCTGACATAATCTTTGGGTTAAACATTTCCCCAGCCAGTTGACTGGCTTCCATCTCACTTCCATCTTCATTTCACTAGAGTCGCCCCATCAGAACGGTCATGAGGCAAGGAATCATCAGCCAGGAGGTAAACGGTCGCCAGGATTCGGCGGGAGCTGCGGGGGAGGATGGACGGCGGCGCAGGGTGGCAGTTGTCGGAGCGGGTTTGGTAAGTGAGATATCACTAGGAGTACAAATAGTCCAATAATTTGTTTGTAAGTGATTTCTTTCCAATTTATGTCCAATTTGTTTATGTATTTTAAAATATAATTATTTGATTTAAACTAATTAAACTTAAATTTTGCATATGTCTGTTCAGTGTTTACAACAATGTCCTTCTTAAAAAGTTCTTAAAAATACATTTGTTTAATGCTTCTGTAGAATCTGTAATTATTTTTAAAGAACGTAATTATCTTTATGCTACTCTATTTTTGTGTGTCCGCATAACTATGTGTTGCCTTATCTTTAGGCCTTCTTAATCCCTGGTTCCAGATAAATCTCTCTTATCAAGCTAAATCTATTTTTCAATAGGTGGGTTCTCTGGCGGCCTTAAACTTTGCCCGCATGGGCAACCACGTGGATTTGTACGAGTACCGGGAGGATATCCGGCAGGCTCTGGTTGTCCAGGGCAGGAGTATTAACCTGGCTCTTTCCCAGAGGGGTCGAAAGGCTCTGGCCGCCGTGGGTCTGGAGCAAAAGGTCCTGGCCACCGCCATACCCATGAGGGGTAGAATGCTGCACGATGTGAGGGGAAACACCAGCGTGGTCCTATACGATCCGTGCACCAATCAATGTCTGTATTCCGTGGGACGCCGTCAGCTCAACGAAGTCCTCTTGGATGCTTGTGATAAGTTGCCCAATATCCGCTGCCACTTTGAGCACAAATTAACGAGTGCCAAACTGAGAGAGGGATCCATGGAGTTCCGAAATCCCAGCGACGAAGTTGTAACTGCAAACGCAGATCTTATTGTGGGCTGTGATGGGGCCTTCAGTAGTGTTCGCCAGCAATTGGTCCGTTTGCCGGGATTTAATTACTCACAGGAGTATATAGAAACAGGTTACTTGGAGCTTTGTATTCCCTCGAAATCGGGTGATTTCCAGATGCCGGCTAATTACCTGCACATTTGGCCGCGTAATTCCTTTATGATGATTGCCCTGCCGAATCAGGATAAATCGTTTACGGTCACCCTCTCCATGCCTTTCGAGGTATTTGCTAAGATTCAAAATCAGGATGATCTACTGGATTTCTTTAGAACGAACTTCCGCGATGCACTGCCACTGATTGGGGAGCAACAGCTCATAAAGGACTTTTTTAAAACCCGACCACAGCATTTGGTGTCCATCAAGTGCAGACCCTATCACTATGCAGATAAGGCCCTGATCCTTGGCGATGCCGCCCATGCCATGGTTCCTTATTATGGCCAGGGAATGAATGCCGGAATGGAGGATGTTACGCTGTTGACCGGAATTTTGGGCGAGCAGCTGCCGCTGGATGAGGCGTTGGCCCTGTTTACCGAGAAACGCTGGCAGGATGCCTTCGCCATTTGCGATCTGGCCATGTACAACTATGTGGAGGTGGGTTTTTAAATTATAATTTATAATGTTATTCTCTTAAATGTTTCTATCTTTTCCACTGCCAGATGCGCGACCTGACCAAACGATGGACCTTCCGGCTCCGAAAATGGCTGGACACCCTGCTCTTCCGTTTGTTTCCCAGCTGGATTCCACTCTATAATAGCGTCTCCTTTTCCAGTATGCCCTATAGCCAGTGCATTGCCAATAGAAAGTGGCAGGATCGGCTGCTAAAACGGGTTTCTGGCGCCACTCTATTAGCTGCGATCCTGGCGGGAGGAGCTATATTCGCACACCGTTTTATATGAAATTATTTAGAATATCTTTAAGGAATTTACAAATTTTAAATGTTCAGAAACGGACTTTCAGTGAGAATTTGACTAAGAAGGCGTTTCTGTAACACACCGATTTAAGTAAAAACCGGTTTTAAATCTCAGAATTTGTATCTTCAATCAATAAATATTATACTATTTTTAAGCCAGTAAATTTTATTGGGTTGGGATTAGAAAGTTTTGTATAACAACTAGCAATACGCGAAGCGAAGCATTTATTGTAATAAATATAATCAGTCAAAAAATGTGTAGATACTAATGTTGCTAGTGAAAAATGTTGCTTATATTAAGCTTTTTGAAATTAGCCTTATGTTTATGTTTAAACTATAAAATAAAAGAAAGATTCCGAAAAATATAGAATTTAGGGAAAAGCTACTTGCTTGTTTAAAACTTTGTCCCACAGAAAAAGCTCGTGGGTGTCCCCGTGTGAATGAAAATTGTTTCAACGGAAAAATTCACCGGAAAGTCACCATGAGTCATAATACTCATATGAATGTGGATTTCAAATCACGTAATTAAAGAAGCTTACAAATAGACAACACAAATTAGTTGATGTAAATGGTTTTAATATTCCTTGATTCTTAACGTTAAATTATAAACCGAGTCTGTTTGTAGAAACTCCGGAAACAAAAATAAAACTAAAAGACTTTTGCTTACGGTGGATTTAGATAGCATTTTAAAAAGCTCACAAAGCATAACCAATTGTTGTATATAATTTGTTTTGAAATGGGCTACCATTACTTTAAAATGACTTAAAGGTAGTTCAGATTAGGAACGTCTAATTTGTTGTGTCGTATACAGATAGGCGCCACCTTCACTAAGAAATCAAATGGGCTAAGGTAAATTGGAAGCGCAAAAAAAACTGATAAACTATTGTTTACTGTGGATTCACGCAGGTCTTATAAATACGTACACATGCCCGATTTCGTTTGTTGGCAAAATAATTGAAATTTCTTGTTGGCCGCGTGGCTACTACGCATCGCATTTGGTCTACGGGACTATCATCAACCTGTGGATGTGATGTGTGGATATTTTTGGGTTTGTTTTGTCGCTTTAGCTATTGAGGCGGCGACAGCCAAAAATACCGCCCCGACAATGTGATTTTAGCTATTTCACCGTTTATTTCTAGTCGCAGTTTTGCAGCCTTGGTCACGTGATCGTGATCCCCGAACATCCGGCAGATGCATTTGTTTATTTTTTGTTTCGCCTTCTAAAGGATCAGTGGATCAGTGTTGTTTACCCCATAAGTACAAATGTATAGGGCCTATAATTCATATGCATAAATGGTAATAAACCGCTGATCGCTAAGCTTTTTAGGTGTAAAAGAGAAGGGGAGAAAGCTTTCAATTAATTAGCATTCGGTTGCCACCCCAACCCTCTCGCTCTTTCACACCCCATGCCCCATGCTCCCCCCTGGGGAGACAGAGAGAGATAAAGAGAGCACAAGGTCGGCGCTTTCTCAATTTTTTTACCGGCCGGTATTTAGTTATTACAACAATGTGATCGCAAAAAAGCTTTTACTCTTCCCATCTATCACTCTCTTTTTCTCTGCCTCCCACACCTTTTGCCTCATCCTCTCTTTTCAGCGCAGATAAATCATTTAAAAACTAGGCTTAAAAAGTGAAAACCTTAAAAACAATAGCTTCAAGGCATTTCTTGACCTACTACGCAAAAGCTCTCAACCGTTTGGCAAAAGCTTTTGTCTAACGATGATAAAAAAGACATTGTGGTGACGAATTGGAGGGGGGCGGAAGATAGCGATAGAGAGAGAGAGTGAGTGAGACGGAGACAGTGCTCATTTCCGACTTAATTGTTGTTGCTAATTCCGTTTCGCGAACTTTTCTCTGGCGCTCTCTAGAATCGTCGGCGCCTCCGCTTTGCTCCCACTAACGACAGTGGGGCTTCGTCGAAAGACTTAGGGAAACCGTTATTAAGTGATGCGAATAGCTTTAGCCCTTTTCAAGTTTTAGATTTTGCTTTTGCTATTGCTAATAAAATAATGGAATAATGGAAAATAATCCGTCAGCAAAATAATGATTACGCCCACTGTCCCTAAGGAAGAACTCTGTAGAACTTGCTATATTTTAATTTCCTTTAACTTTGCCGATAGGTGAACGGTAAAACCTCAGTCTTAGGCAGGCCCTACTGTACCCGCTACCGCTTCCGCCGTCGCTCGTCTTCGCTTGGCCGGCGGACCAGCGGGCCAGCGCCATCAGTTGCTCGTCACATGTTCGCCACTCAAGTAGACCAAGAAGGAGCCGTACAGTGCCAACCGCAATCCGATCGGACGCAGAGCAACCGTTAGACAGACTATCGAATGCAGCAACTCACAAACAGTTAGACCAACGAAAAGACTACTCCCCCAACCGATCTTAGCACTATATAGCCAGGTGCGAGTGCTACTTTTATCAGCCCTTTTCGCTGTCAAATCAAACCGAAAACCACATTCTCGAAGCTTTTCGGCAAGCTTCCGCCAACTGATCGAAACGCGTGGTCCGAAAAACGAAGAAAATAAAGCAAAAGGCAAGCGAAAAAAAGTGAAATTGAAATTCAAAATCAAAAATCGAAAAGTTGGGAGTTAAGTGAGCAACGCGTGTGTTTGTGTGAGTGAGTGTTTCGCAGTGTGTGTGTGCAGTGCAACGGTATATTGAAAAACCAAGAGTAACGGTAGTCGAGCAACTAGCAATTAGGGTGTTACTTGTCAGAATTTGAGCAAAAAGAAAACCGAACGTTTTGGCTTGTTACTTTGCCGTAGTAATCCAAAATCAAAACCAAAAACCGAATATACCGATCGCCATCCTGGCCCGTCCGTTGTATTTAGTGTAAGGCGATCTGCCAGCGGTTCGCCGAAACGTTAAACTCCACCCACACCCTGCTGCCCGTCGTCGATAGCATACCGATATCGATAGCCGGCCACCCATAGCGATAGACCACGATAGCCGCTTGCTGTATAACTTTAGATCGAAACATCATCAATCCGTGCTCAAGAAAAAAAAGGATTCCACTGAGAAAAACAAAAGCCTTTCTGCGTGGATTTTGGATAATGAGTGACTAAGCACAAGCTGTCCGAATTGTTCAGGTAAATATATAGACGCGCACACAATCACCGTTATTGATCTCGCAATTAGTGGGACTACGTGACTGCAGCACAGATCGCAGATCGCATCGTGTCGCATGGTTTTGTGTTCTGCCTATAATGAAAAACAAACCAGAAATGCGGATAACGATCTAGGCACACACACCATCCCGCCCCCTGAACCCATCCCCCTTTTGCTTCTCGGGTTGTCTTGGCATCTGGCATTTCCGGTTTCGCTATTTTTTGGCGGTGTAGAGACATGCAGATGAAAGCACCTTCAGATATTATTCAACCTAAGATCCTCTTTAAGTGGTTTCGTTTATCAAGAATAAAATGTTTTTAAATCTTGTTTTATTTTTTAAATACGGAAAAAATAAGGATTACAAACGCATAGTTGCGAAGTTATAGTTCCTTTTTATCACTTTAATATATTAGTTATAGATTTATTAGTCATAACAAAATCTTTAAGAATTTAAAATGAATAATGATGTAGTCTGTGAAATAACTGAACCTAAAGATATATTTTTAAGGGCACAAGTTCAATAAAAAAGCCATTTAACGCACGGGGGAATACCCAAATTATTTTAGTATTCATCCTACACATAAACTAATACGTTTGCTCGTTAGAAAAGAATAATTATCGTCGTTCTTACATTCATCCATCATTTTTGGGTTCAAGATCGGTTAGTGTTCGACAATTCTGGAAAAGCAATTAGCTTATTTGGAAGAGGGGATCAGTTTATAACTTTTTCTGTTCGTGCGATTGAGTCATAATTTGTCGTAAACAATAATACAATTCCCAGGGAAATTATTTAATTTCGTCAGGGGCTGTTTCATTTGCAGAGGTTTTGGTGACTTTATTAGGCATTTTATAATGCATCGTAACATTATTGTTAAATTGGATTAATATATTTTTAAAAACTTGTAATATAATTTGGTTTTATGAACTTTCATTACTTTGTTGAGGTCTACACTTTTTTAAAATAATATTTTTTTTTGATTTTCAATATGATTCAAATTGTGCATTTATATTAGTGTAACTGCGTGACTTTTGAAGTTACGCAGATTCAAAACTTTTTTATAAGTATAGATCAAGGGTGTATAAACTTCGGGTTGCAGAATCTAATAGGTTTTTTTTTTGTTATTCGCTTTGACGTTATATTAAATGCAGTGTTTGAGTGCAGTAATAAAGAGTTTTAATGGGGGAATTAACGGAGGCAGTTTTACGGGAGTCAAGAATATTGATCTTCTGGTCAGTTTACTGATCACACATTATTTCGTCGGGGCGGTAGCGAAGAGAAGAGCAAGGGAAAATAAAATAAAGCATTCCGATACGAAAACTTACATCATCGTGCTGGGGGATAGAAAGAGATGGAAGGAGAGAAAGAGGGAGAACGCGCCCGCCAAAAGGCAAGCATTTACATACCAATACACATATGTATGTGTATACACATACATTCGCGCGATATTTTTCGGCATTTTTGTTTTTGTTTTTTTTTCGATGGACGCAAAAAATAAGTAATACAAATTGCGCGTTTGAAAATGGGACTTTTTATACAGCTAGCTCCTTTACCGAACGCAGCAGTTAATCAAAGAAAAAAACAAGTGATAAAAACCAAGGAAGGAGCGAGTGCGAAAGCAAGGGGGAACACGCGTTCAAAAGCGATTTTTGGCTAGCTTTATAAAAATAAATCAACAGCATTTAGAACACATAAACAAAAAGCCCTAACGGAATGCCGAAAACAATTATTCGACAAAGCAACTAACCAATAACTAAAACGAATACTAATTTTGTTTTCTCTTTGCTCTCTTTACATGATGATGCGCCCGCGCCCTCTGTCTCTCTGTTTTATCTTGCGGTAAATATGAAATGCCATCCAAAAGGGGTAGCAAAAACGAAGAACAGCAATTTCGCCAAAAAGACGCAGTTGAGAAAAAGTGTTAGCAAGTGAGAAACAACATTAATGAATTTCGTGATTAAAAACATTTCAAAAGGTGTACAACAAAAGCTCATTTAATATAAAAATAAAAAGAACGCAAGCGAAATATACAAAATAAAAAATCGCGGCGCGCCAACAACAAAACGTGGCACAAACTAAAAACACAAAACAAAAGCTCAACGAAAACGAGAGCGAATGCGAATGCGCGCGCGCGAGTGAGATAGCAGTTAGCCGCAGAGAGAAACGAAGAGCGGTAAGCGAGAGCGACAACAACAAAACACCAGCGCAAGCAGAAGCCAAAAGCCAATTGCGCACGAAACGTAGAACGGAGAGAACTAACGGAACTCTACAAGCGCAGCACGGATAACGGTTAAAAAGGGCGAAACACAGAGAACACGGGGAAAATGGTAAACAAGGTGAATGGCAAGAAGGCGGACAAGGACAAGGAGAGGCAGCGAGAGGCAATGTCGCCGGCGGCGGGCAACAACAGCAGCAACATCGAGAACAGCAGCAACCTGAGCAACATAAACAACCAAAAACCTATTAACAAAACAGCAAACAACAACAACAAAGCTCAGAATGCCAAGGCAAACAGCAACAACAAAAAGAACGCAAATGCAGGCAAGGGACAACAGCAACAACAACAGCAGCCGCAGCAACAGCAACGCGGCAGCAAAAAAGCCAAGCCACAGCGGCAACAGATATTCCTGCAATCGCTGCCACGCGACAGCAGCAACTACAGAAGCAACAATTACAGGAGCAACATCACCATAAGCAGCAACAGTAGCGGCAACAGTAGCAGCAACACCAACAAAAGCAGCAACTTGGACACACCGGCAACAGTGAACAGTGGCGTGGGCAAAGTAAACCCCGCCGAACTGCTAACGGCCGCCTTGGCCGTGCCCTGTGCCAAATGCTCCAAGCCATCGATGATCTCCAGTTTGACCACCGCCGTTGCCACCGTTCCCACAGCCTCCGGCTCCACCTCCACCTCCTCCGTTTCCGCCTCCTCCTCCTCGTCGTCGTCGTCAACCAGCTCCGGATCGGAGACCGCCAGCAATCACAGCGATCTCAACTATCCGGAACCGGTTGTCTACTCCAGCAAGCAGTACCGCAAGTCCAAGTCCTACATGGGGGTATCCCAGTACAACAGTTCTTCAAATACCTATCGGGGGCCCAATGCCGCTGGCGGTGGGGGTGGTAATGGCAACCATGTGGCCTACAGACGCTCCCAAAGCGATCGACGCAACTCGTTCGATCGCACCTTCGCCGAAAGGAATCGCGACTTTGTGCCCATTGTGCCGCCATCGCGTCCGGTCCTGTCCTCTTCCAACATCGCCGGAGTCATGGCCAGTTCCACCAAGCTGACGATCATAGAGCGGTTCGGCAAAGGTCGTGTCGCGTATCCCATAATGCAGGTGAGTCGAGACGATATATCTGATATACAGGTAGGGGGTTCTATATGAGTGGGTACCTACATTGTTTTTTAATGATAGTGACATATAGGGACTTTACTAACCTAAAATCATAAATCGAATAATAAATAGGCTATTACATGGTTAAAACAATTCTCCAAACGTCTGACTCAAGGGGAAAAATAACAGCTGCCCCGGGAGAAACCAACATCTGTAATCAATGTTGCAACTCTTACTGTAAGATTACGGTACAGAGCACTTCTTTGAAATTATATTGATTATTTTTCAATATTTCCTTAACGGAAAAGGAAGAATTATGATTCAACAGGAAATACCACGATAAGAGCGTTGATTCAAACTTCTGATTCAATATAAATATATATTTTTTTAATATCCATCAAGAAGGTGACAATTGTATATTGACTAGTTTTTTGTATACAATCTGAGGTCAAGACTTTCATTTCTGATTAAAAAAGTAATTAATAGCAACTAGGAATTTTATATTTCTCAGCTTGAATTTTTATTTGCTTATTTTTCACTTTGGAATAAGATTTATGTGCTGACCTAAACATTTTATTTAAATTTAGTAATTAAGAAACTAGTCCTAATGTAATAGATTTCCTAAAAAGTCTAGGAATTCCGCAATAATCAATTTACAAAAACTTCCAATCTCACCTTCAAAATAGTTTTGTAAATTGTGTAATTGAGAACCATTTAGATTATGTGATATGAAATCATTACCGACTTAGCGTAACACTACAACTGTATTCAAGATAATAGGATAGTTTTTATTATCACGGGTTTTTTAATGTTCTTAAGCTCTGCCTCCACTGTAATTAAAATTTACTAAACTGAGGAAATCATAAACGCAGTATTATAATGGCTCCCAAGGTGGGAAAACTTTCGTAACTTTCCATTAGTTGCCACCATTCGAGAAGTTTGCGTTCTAATCAGCTTCAGCAGCTACCGAAGGAAGCAGCTATAATTAATGGCACACAAACAAGAAGTGGTGATAAGGAAAAAAGAGCCCGAAAGGCGAGAAAGCGAGTGCTTACTCATCTATATATTTTTGATAAGCTGATTTCATTTCGGGAGTCGCGAAATGGAGCACAAACTATACACCACAACTCGAAACAAACAATCTAAGACTTTTCTCCGCACTGATTTGCTGGACTTTTTCGCATTTGTTTTGCAATTTGTTATCTCTTCCCTTTGTATAGTGCATATATATATATATTCTTTTTGTTTGTTATTTACGGTTATGCACTTGGGGCGAAATATTACGTATACGCCCTGGCTGACAGCGGGCAATTTGTCGCCACCGATTTTGTGCAATCGAGAGAGACAAATGCGATGCTAATATACGGAAATACTGATGTCTCGCCTTGAATCTCCGTCACTCTTAATAGCTGCTTATGTATATTTAAATATTCTGGCCCAACAACTCGAGATCCCAACAATATGTTAACCAAAGATCTGCCAGAAGTTCGAGTCTCAGGTATTTTATGCAAATTTCTCACTGACGTCTCTGACTTTTGAGTTTGATTTTATTGTGGAAAAATATCAACCGAAAGTGGTTTGATTAGCATGTGCTGCGGCACTTAGCTAGTTACCAAAACTAGTTCTAAACGAACCAAAACTCTAGAAAAAAATAAGACAAACTTATGCGAAAAGTGAAACTTGTTTGCCATATGTATTTTGCCAAAATAAAATGGTTGCCTAGGGATGATTTAGAAAGCTCAGTTTGAAATGGAGACAAAGGGACTCATTTACAAGACCTTAAAGATTTAAACCAGTCATAAAATTTCTCAATTACCGGCATTTCTGGGCCTTCTTGCCTTCGTTTTGGGCCGCTTTACCAACTGTTTCAACAATTTGCTTAGCCTTAGCATTGCCTTTGCTGGCCTTCAAATAGTAAAAACAAAAACTAGACGAAAACATTGAAAATTTTCAGAAAAACAATCCGAACACACATTTTCTAATGAATCATTAGAACTAGATCTCTCGCCTGCTTGTTGATGTTTACTCTTTTGGGCCCAGACATACATAAATTCGCCCCACGTGAATTTTGATTCGCGAGCACAGTGGGCCAAGTTGTGTCAACGGCTGGTGAAATTGTTTTGGCTTGGAAACAAATCTCTCCACACGTGGCCAACACTTCGGCAACGGAAGCGAGACCATTGATAAGATAGTGTGTGGAACTTGTCACAATGAAAGCTCTATATATTTGGCATATATGCAATCTTTCAACGAGGAGTACTCTGCTTTCCATACTTAAAGTTTTGATATAGTTATCCATTTATTTATAAATGCCATTTAACTTTTACCTTAAAAATAAGAAAATAATAAATAAATTTGAAATAATAAATATGATATGCTTCACTATCTTTCGTAAATTATTAAAAATAAAAGTCGTAACTCCTAGAAATTGCATTTAAAACCAGAAAACTGACCTTTAATTTAAATGCAAAGGTTATCCACCCTTGTATAAAAAGACAATTCAAACTCGTTTTATTAACAGTAGAGAGTAGAAAAACAGGTACATAATCAATTTTAAAACTAGAGATAAAGATGAAATCGCTAAAAACTTGACAGTACTATCTAGTTTAATCAAAAACTCTGATTTTAATTAAAGTAAAAGTGGTCAAGTTCATTTTCGGATGAAGTTCTCGTTCAAGTTAAGATGTCAATTTGATTATGTTATTACACAATAGCAATTATCGGCTAGAGATATCGCATAAGTCCAGTTATCACAGGAAGTTGGAAACTAAAGACAGTTGCCTATCAAATATTATGATAGAACAATAATAACAAATAAGTTTCCTAGGAAATATATGTATGCGTATTGTTTATCGATCAAGCAGAAATACAAAACGTCAACGGTAACAATGCCCTTACTCTTTTGCAACTCGAAACGGTTTTTAAACTGTTTTAGGATTTTTTTTATCTTACATATTTTACCTGAGCGTTGGCAGTCAAATTTTTCGCTTTACATTTTCGAAACGCATATAAAATACGTACTCTACTTAATATGTGTTCCCAGTATGCGGGGATTTCCAGACTTGATTTGAATCTCGTCAAAGATTTGCAAACATTCTGAAGCTTATCAGGCCGGGCGATTGTACAAGCACACATAGGTTTATATATTGAAATATATCAACTCTTCTGCTTACGTCAAGCTTCACTTGATTCGGTATGCGAATACGAGAGTGTGCTATATGGACAGGTGGAAATGTTTACAAAGAACCGTCTGAGTTACGAACTTTCTATTGGAGCAGGGGCAGCTGATATAACTCTCTTCCCATTTGCAGTTAGCTTTTCCAGTCGATTCTTTTTTTACGATTATCTTAATGGGTAAATATATTTAATAAATATGTATGCGCCGGTGTGTATCTGCGGATCTATAGCGTGCAAAGCTTTTTATATTTTTTTCTTAATTGTTATATTTATTTCTATTATTATTTGAGTCAGTAAATATTACGCTACCAAATTGCATATTGTTTTCGCGAATAGCCACAGCTGTGTGTGGCCAACTTTTGCTTCAGTTGGGTTCTACCAATTCAACTGCGTAGTAAAAATCATTTATAAATATGATTTTGTTGGCAAAAAACCTCGTTGGAGAACGAAAAAAGAAAAAAGATTGTGGTGCGGCCAAAACTGCAGTTGTGTGCGCGATTCTTTTGATTATGAAAATCAGTGGTAGAACAAATTAAATATAAAAAGAAATGGATTGTCAGCGGCTCCTATCACGTGTGCTTGAGATTCCACACGCTTATCGTGGCTGCCAAAAAGCGTGCAAAATATAATAAATTCAATGGGCACTGGCCACACAGAAAAGAGCCCCTCACCGAGGCTAGAAAGTTTCATGACAATTCAAATTTTCAGATTTATCACACTCCATACCTCCGAAACCTCAGGCGATATAGCGATTCTTTTTTGAGCTCAGCTAACTTTCCGCCTAGGTAAAAAAAAAGAAAGCGAATTTAAGCCCAGCCTGAAAATAGGCAACATGAACTAGGTTCTTGTTAAAAATATTCATTACATGACAGTAAAATCCATGTAGAGACTACTCTTGTGCAGATTGTTGCATATTGAACTATTTAACGAACTTATAAATATTTTATTAACACATGCAAGTAATCTATTTTTTATTTAATGTAAATTAATAGTTTACGTTTAACTTTTGTTTATAAGATCACAGAGGATGCTTATGTCTGTTGTGAAACAGTTAGGAATATCTGTATTAAATATCTACGATTTTATTCTAATTACACCAGTTCACAAAAAAAAGAAATAACGCTATAGTCGACTATCAGGTACCCCGTTACACAGCGAGGGAGATGAATATATAAAACTTTGATCGCGCATAACTTTTTAACAAATGGTCCGATTAGAAAAAAATAGGTATTGATAAACACAATAAAACTGCATTTGTGCTTTTCTGAAATCTGTGGGGCGCCAGACACCTTTTTAAAATCGTTTAAGGAGATTGTGGGAGTTAGAGGGGCGTGGCCCTCGGCTGAAAAAAACCTTGCGCTGCGTAGGAAGCCCAAGAACATGTATGGGGAATCCCAACATTCTAGCTTTTGTTCGTTTTTTTCCGAGAACTCAGCGTTCATACGGACAGACAGACGGACATGGCTAGATCGACTCGGATAGTGACCCTGATCAAGAATATATATACTATATAGGGTCGGAAATGCTTCCCTCTAGCTGTTACATACTTTTGCACGAATACAATATACCCTTTTACGAAGGAAACCTTTGTTTTCCGGTAAGGTACGTCTGATTAAGAAAAGGACACCTAAAATTTTTTTTTTTGGAAAAAAGACCCTGTAAAAAATACTACTTTAATGTTTCTGCCTCACATATAAAATTTGTTAAGTAAATGTAGGTATGTAAATGTGAAAATCTGTTCGGGATTAATAAACCTCATCAAGAGGCGAATGACAGCAGGCGAGGGAGATGAAAGGTAGACCTATTTCCACTCCACGAGAGTTCTT